TCGGGTCGACGCGAGTGCATCGACCCACCAGCAGCAGCCTGCTGCTGTCTCAACAGTTCAAACTGTTGAGCACCCTGTTCTCTCAACAACTCTGCTTGTTGAGAACCTTGTTGGTGAAGCAAGGCTACTTTCTCGCGTTCTGCGTCAAGTTCATTTTGAATGAACTTGGCGATAGTAGCATGTTGGGCATCTCTATTGAGAGCCTCTAGCATGACGCTAACAGCATGGATGCCCATGGTTGAACCCATCCGTTCAACCGCATCCCATTCGACGTCGCTCAAATGGGAGTAGCCGTCACGCATAGCGTAAAAGCTTTGGTCATCTTCATCATCCAACATATTCATGTTAAATGTGAACGTGGTCCCTGGACGGACTACAAAGTGCTACCAGGTGTAACGGGGCACCCTGAAGCTTGTACTGGTGACAGTACAAGCTACTTATTCTGATAACAGAATTAGGCGGTGCCTCGGAACTTCACGTACGCTCGTACGTGCCGAGGAAGACGGTAGGAAGAAGCGAGTACTTGGATAAAGTAAAAAATAGAACTGTATTTATCATAGTTAATGTCTGTTAATTAATCACTATTTATCCTCATCTAACTATGTCTGAATACAAATGTGTATATCAACTATCTGCTCACCACTCGTTGCGTGCGTCTGTTGTGGCGCGTCTTCGTTGGTTGATAGAATGGCCTCCATCAACCAATTAGGAACTACTCGTAAGTGCTACAGAATATTTGTCCTTATGACAATATTCTGAGAATATAGCTCTTATAGTTATATTCTATTAACAATTTCTTATAAATTGTTATGTAACGATTCACCCCGTTACACGAAGGGTGGAGCAAATAGTCACTTTGCGCAATGTACATACGAACTTTCAAAAGCTGCTTTCTGTCTGTTTGTGTTCAAATCACGCAAGGAGTACATGAAACGTCGTACCAAGTGCGATGTAGTCTGTCACCTCCTGTGTACGTGAACAAGATCAGGCGTACTTTGCGCGTCGTACATAGTGCGATGTAGTAAATTATACCCTCCTCATTGGTCGACAGACATTTTAGGTGTCACTTTTTAATCAGGTCAGTAATTGCGACTGCGAAGTGCAAACAGCTCACGCGCATGAATGCCCGCACGTGATTGACTCAAAAGTAGTTAGGGGCGTACTCAGGGGATAACCGCAAATGCTAGGCACTCAGGGGGAGCGAAAGTCTCGTACCTTTCGCAAACAGGACGTGTCAAGTGCTTCTGGTTCGAATTGCTTCGTATTCTCAAATAGTGAGAGGTTTTGGTCACGTTTTTATTCGGTCAGCAGATCAAGCTTGCTCCCCTATCTTGACTGCTTCGTGTTGACAAGTAGAGGAGCAAAGCGAAGCTAATCACTGCGACAATGACCAGACGCTTACTGTGCACAACTGTTGCCAAGTGCAATGTCTCGTCGATAAAATACGCGTGCTACTCTGATGACCCTTTTCGATAATGGTCACTTTACACATCCAATGATCGGTCTAGGTAAAACAAGCACCGTACCACGAGCTACACATTTGTCTCTTTTTATCAGGGTGGTGTTGAAAAAACACCAGAATTAGGTCGAACAGCTCTCAATGGAGTCGAACTCTCAGAGACAAGAGAGATCCACCACACTGTCCGAAGAAAAGAGGGCAATCGACTACGTCAACCACTTCTTAAGAACGCTCGCCGCGGATACGACGCGCCAGCTGGATGTCCTTGGGCATGATCGTGACACGCTTGGCGTGGATGGCACACAAGTTGGTGTCTTCGAACAGACCGACGAGGTACGCTTCAGCCGCCTCCTGCAAGGCAAGCACCGCCGAGCCCTGGAAACGCAGGTCCGTCTTGAAATCCTGCGCGATCTCACGCACCAGACGCTGGAACGGAAGCTTGCGGATCAGCAGCTCCGTCGACTTCTGGTACCGACGGATTTCACGCAGCGCGACCGTACCCGGACGGTAACGGTGCGGCTTCTTGACACCGCCAGTGGCAGGCGCCGACTTGCGGGCGGCTTTGGTAGCGAGTTGTTTACGCGGGGCCTTGCCTCCGGTCGACTTGCGGGCGGTTTGTTTCGTGCGAGCCATTGAGACGTCAGTCGGTTGTTGTGGTAATCAAGTGGGGGGAGCCGAGCAAATTGAGGAATGGCGAGAGAGCAGCAGCAGCAGCAGCAGATGCAGCAGCTCCTCCAATGTCTCCTGTTGTGCGTCCCATGTCGAAGACGTCCTTGCAAAAAAAAGTATTCCACCAATCGCAGGTCGGCACAAGACCGTCAGAGCCACTCAAAACCTCGACTTGAGATGCTCCGCCAATCCGTGTGCAGATGCAAAGACCCCGCTTTCTCGTCCAATGAGAGAGCACGACACGGGGACTCGATGGATGGGGTGTCGGTCGGCCGAAGGTTGCTGGAAGCGATGGGGGCACATTTGGCGGGAAAACAGCCGAGGACTTGAGGTAGAGCTTCCCCATTCTACAATCTTCCGAGCGACAAGCACCTCGACTACTCTCTTCTACTCATCAACATGTCTGGACGTGGCAAAGGCGGCAAAGGACTTGGCAAGGGCGGCGCCAAGCGTCACCGCAAGGTTCTCCGCGACAACATCCAGGGCATTACCAAGCCCGCCATCCGTCGGCTCGCACGCCGTGGCGGTGTGAAGCGCATTTCTGGCCTCATTTACGAAGAGACCCGTGGCGTCCTCAAGGTGTTCCTCGAGAACGTCATCCGCGACTCCGTGACCTACACGGAGCACGCCCGCCGCAAAACCGTGACGGCAATGGACGTCGTGTACGCACTCAAGCGCCAGGGTCGCACTCTGTACGGTTTCGGCGGATAAGTGCAATGTCGCTAGCTGCCCCAACGATGCGTCGTGGACCAAGCTTCTGGATCTAGTTAAGTGATTGGTAGCACTTTCGTCTGCGTCTCTGGTGAAGCAGCTGGCCTTGTGGTCATCCCGATGGATCTGAATCCTCTCTTGGTGTTTTTCAACACCACCCAAGCAAAGAAAAAGCAATCGATAGAATATCTAGAGTGCATGTAGTTCATAGGAAAGAGCAAGGCGGTTAGTCGTAAGCCGAGCAACGAACTTGTAGATCCAGTTAGACACAAGTAACATGAGATGCTCGTTGTGAAGATCGATCCGATCGCGTAAAGTCACAGGAAGCGTACCTAGATGTAGAATATCCCGCAAAACAGCGGCATGTACCTAGAGTATCTTTCAATGACAACCTACAAAACGTTGCTGTGCACCACTTGACACGATAGGCAGTCCTAGAAGATCTAACACATGTCGGCGGTACCCATTTCGCAACTCACAACACACCAACGTCAGCGTACGCGAAGCAGGTCAAGTAGTCGGTCAACGTGATTCATAAAGCAGATGCCGCAGCCAGCTGCCTGCTATGCTGTAGTCCTACGATTCCAACGGCTCGCATGCTGCTATTCTTGCTTGCCTCTCAGCTGCATGTAGCCGACTAGCTGTACTGGGCGATAGCTTGGAGAAGGTCCTTGGATTCTTGCACGAAGTTGACAGGCTCCAAATTCACGACACCTGCCTTGACGCGAAGTTCCTCTTGAACATTCTCAGCCTTTACACGAAGCCGGCAAATGTACTGCTTGAACAATGCTTCCTTGAATGTTGACTCAAACAGTGTCGGATTCGTATCACGAAGCTCGCCGATTTCATCCGCGGTGCGGCCGTTCATTACCACCTTTCCTTGGTCATTGAAGCACGTCGTCCAAGTGCTGCCTGTGTGGTCCAGCATCACCACCGAAAGTATAAAGCGGTTCTCGCAAGTGCTGTAGGACGTTTGGCATTTTTCGCACGTGTAGTTCTGGGCGACATCCGCCACGACCTTCTTCTGGCACTTGGGACAAGCCTGGTAGTACACACCAGTATCATGCTTGATGAAGTTCACCGTTCCCTTCACTGTAATGTAATCAGGCTTCTGACCAAAACCGAGCTGCTTGCTTTTGATGTCACTGATGACTGCACGTTCAGCAAAAGTGCCGAACGAACCACCACCAAAGCCGCCGCCGCCTGAGCTCAATGATTTGGCTTGAGCTGCACTGCCACCATTCGAGAACCAGGTTACTAGGTGACCCGCTTCAGGAATGGCAGGGTTAACAGTAAAGCTCGAGCTCATTACAGTGCCGATCGATCGGCCGTTGTACTCACTCACACGGCAGCCTTTGATGGCCAAAACTTGGTTCAGCCAGCTAGAACAATCCTCCTGAGCACGTTCATTCCACATCGTGCACTTGATTTCAGCGTTGGAATCATCAATGAGCGAAATGTCGCGTTTGAACAGCTGCTTGCCAGCCTTCGACGTGATCTCATTCACTTGACCCACGTCACGTACAATGCCAATCACGTCTACATTCGAATCAGCAGCCACGTTTTCGATATCGGCAATTTTCTTGAAAGCGTATTGCATGTGCGAGATTTGCCCGTCTTCCGAGGCCGGGGAGATCTCAGAGTGCGGATCGAACGTCACTTCGTAGTCATTGTCAACGGATGAAAAGCGGCGATTGGCCATCTTCACCTTCCCGCCAGCAAAGTAAAAGACGCCACCCGGACGTAGCATTTCATAAAACTTGTCCACGCCGTCATTGAAAAAAGTAGCACGGATCTCGCCACCCTTTGCGTCAAGCAGATCAATGCTGAACAGCTTGCCCGAACCACGTGCATTCGTCCAGTTCTTTATCGGAGCGCGAGTTGTCACACGAGCTTTGATGGTCCATCGTCCACCAGCGTACGGGTTCAGACTCTGAATGTCCGAGAGTCGAATATGCGGGTCTTGACGCATGACTGGACCACGGTTATACGTTGCAGCTGCAGGTTTATCAGGTGTCATGTAGTTTGACGGGGCAGCAGCAGAAGACGTGTTGTACTGGTTCGCAGCTGCCGGTGGCAGTTGGTACACCGGCTGAGCAACAGAGGGGTTTGACCTCGAGCCTAGGGCTGTAGCAGGCGGCACGGAAGCTGCAGGAATCGACGGTCCCTTGGTACCTTCAACGCTTTGCGGGTTTCCAATGCGGTCGAACGCTGGTGCAATGTCGCCAATGCTCAGCACGATGAGAATCCAACGGCCTTGTACTTTATTGCGCATGAAATCCTTGAGCTGCAGGACGTAGTTCGTCTTGAGACTCTCATTTTCCATGAGCTGTGGGTAGAAAATGACAGAATCACAAGCAAATGAGCATCAGATAAAACGTTAGAGTGGTTACTGAAGACGAACCGAAAAAAAGTGCTTTTGTACCGGCGCGAGCTGCGTGGCCAGCATTCCACTGATATACGTCGTGCCATCTGATAACACAATACTGTACATGTAACACAAAATCACAAAACCAATTCAGTCACCAAAAGTGTTTGGCAGATTAGTTGCTTTGTAAAAAAAGCGCTTTGTAGTGGCGAGTCGTACCGATATCGATCACCGCCCGTGCCACTAGCAGGCTTGATCTTCTTGATGTCAATGATCTGCAGCCACGGCTCAAAGCCGTCGGGCGTCTCGTTGCTGTGTAGCATCGACACGGCGTTGGGCGTGAGGCTCACCATTGCTCTCGGATTTTGGCGCCAAGTCGCGATTGGTTCGGTCCTCAGTATTTTTTTTGGTACTAAGGACGTACTATTTCGGTACCCTGTTTGGACTAAAATAGAGCACGCACAAAACGCAAAACGCGATCGAGGTTTTTTAGTTTACCATGTCGGCGCTCTTGCTTGAGCAGCTCCCGGATAAAGCGGCAATCGATGACGCTATTCGAGGCACGAGAGATCGCGTGCTCGTGTTGCGCTTCGGTCGCGCATCGGACCTTGCGTGTCTCCATCAGGACGATCTCGTATGCTGCAAAAAAAGGACATCGTCGTCGTCGTCTCTTTATTTTTGTGTGCTCCTCTTTTTTTTGGTCCTGACTGGAATGCGCTATGTGTGACATGTGTGAATGAGCTCGCCAAATGCGACCACGCGCTATCTAAGATGGCGCGGCTCTGTCTAGTCGAGGCAGAGCGCGTACCCATTTATTGCCACTACTTCGACATCACCCTCATTCCTGCCACCGTCTTTTTTGTCAATGGACAGCACGTGAAAGTCGACTATGGGTACGTGCGCTGTCAAGTAAAGGCCGCGGCAGTTACCTGCTACTGTTTCGTGACACTGCTTCGTGCTCTGTTGGATGTTGATTCTGTGTCGCATTGTGCAGTACACCCGACCATACGAAGTTCATAGGGGCTTTTTGGACCAAACAAGACTTTATCGACCTGGTCGAGGTACATCAAACTACATGGAGTCGCGAGTTGGAAGTCGGACACATCATTCATCGCTTTGCCGTCGTGTTGATGCAGGTCATTTACCGGGGTGCGCGACGTGGAAAGTTGATTGTGAACTGCCCGATTGAGAAGTCGCATATCCCGCAATATGACCTGATTTACAAGGACATTTGACATCGGCGGTCACATTTGTGTACGCGAACTGGATGGAGAAGTACGTGTTTGCACACATTGGTTGCTGTGCTCGCGAGAGCACGATTGCTTCTTAGACCCGGAGAAGTGTTTGTTGCTTGCTATCGGTAATAAACCGGCGTTGTGTTTGTGAGTTGTATCTACATGATAAAGACAAGAAGTTCAGGGGAATCTTATCATGTGAAGTGTCAGGTTTGAGACTCCCTGGGTTCCTTCGAAACACCTTGCAGTGTCACATTTTTTCATACAGTACGAAGAACTTTGGATCTGCAGCGATGGCGTTGCTAACTCCGGTCTGACTTCCTTGGTATCAAAAGAGTTCAGTGACGCTGCATTGACAGTTCAACTGGAGAACTGCCCTGGTCTCTATGCAGAGAACATGGTGTGGGGAATGTCTACTACGTTTTGGATGATGGCAAGTTGAGATTCAATCAGTACATTGTTGAGAAAAGCACAGTTGTGCATGCGAGGTGCGCGGGAACTACAGAGTCTGCAAGTACAAAAGGTGAGATGATTGGCGATAGGTCGCATAAACACATTGCAGACTTCATCTGCTTTTGAATGGCTCAATCAGTTGTACCACAGCAAGCTATAGGCCTCGCGCAGATTGGATACCCCGGCGTGATCGAGAATGTGGCTAACGGTACCGTGGTACTGATGTGATGTGCTTCATTGTGGTAGCAGCAGGACAGTCGTGATTGAGACTGGTACGACGACTAAGTCTTGCCTGATCCCGACCATATCATCATTAGTGATGGTATCCTGCATGTGCAGTTTGCTGTACGGTTCAGCGCATGTGCAAACACTGAACGTCATGGCTTTCAGGACTAATACAAGGCAAACGTCTTGCACAGTCTTGGAAATTTTCAAGCTATACGAACACGCAGCCGGTCAAACAGTTGTCAATCGATGTGGTGGGGTGCCTGCAGCTTTTGTGACCCGCAGATACTTTCAGAGGCGTATATGATACCAGGTGCAGCTTGCATCGTATGTTGAATTCTTTGCTGGTAACTATGATGGTGCACAAGGTAGTGGAATGCTTGACTTTGATAGGACTTTTTCAATGCTGGACTCCAGCCTTATCTCACGAGATCATGCACCGATAAGGTCCAAGTGGCGCAGTTTCGACACTCAGCAGGACTTTCTCGCATGAAGAGAGGACATTTGTAAGCAGAAGACCGCAGTCGAATCTACCTCATACAATTCAGGCAACGATCTTGACATTCACGCATCTGTCTGTACAAAGCTTCTAATGCATCTCGACAATGGAACATTCTTGTCATGACAGGAATCCGCATCGCTATTTGTGCAGGGATAAGGTAGATGAAGTCACGAGCTCGAGGTTATTGTGCCATTTCGGAACATACGCCTCTGCTAGCTCCCCGTTCATGGCGAAGATGGAGTCCGACATGATCCTCAACCCACCTTTTCGACATGTTGTACTTAACTAGGCGACTTGGACATCGCCCGTCAAGCATGATGGATCAGGCGCACTGTAAACAACTGTTGGTAATTAATCAGTAATGATGGGCGGCAGACTCGCTTCTGTGCCTGTGGGTCGCTCACTCACGCCTACTTCCGTTGATGCCTACCAGTGTTATTGCGCGATCTTCGCCAGCAATGCGATCGCGTAGATTTTGATCTCAGAGCCACCGTCAACTTTGACGATACCGTCCGAAGCATCGGTACCGATTAGCGAGCCCTTCATACCTGCTTCGTCGCCGGACAGGATGATCACAGTGTCTTGCTTTTCCGGCACAACCGGCCGCACATCGTTGAAAGGCACCGCTATCACGCGACCATCGACATCGATGGAGCACGTACCACCGCTTGCGCTTGTGATGGCACCAACGCTGCCCTTGTGTTCACCAGCAATGACCTCGACCTCGACGCCCTTCACTTTCCAGGTTACATCTCCACCAGCGGACCCGCCGGCTAATGAAGTTACGTCTTGGTTGAAGACAGGTGTCATAGGCATTCCGTTACCTCCCAACATGCCAGGCGTCGCAGCAGGCGTAAGGGCAGAGTTCATCCGACCCATGGGAGTTCCCACGCTAAATCCTGGAGTCATAGGATTGTGGTTGTAGCCCGGAGTGTTCATTCCAGGGGTCACCGGATTGAGACCAGGCGTCATAGCCGATAAGCCAGGTGTCGCCGGGTTGAAGCCTGGAGTCATCGGTTCCATTCCCATCGGTTCGTGACCCATGCCAGGCGTAGCAGCGGACAAATGTGCGGGAGTTGTTGGATTCAGGCCTGGTGTAGTCGGGTTCAGACCTGGCGTCGTTGGGTTCTGGCCCATCAAGTACGCTGGCGTCCGCGGCTGCAGTCCGGGTGTCGTCGGGTTCAATCCTGAATTCGGAGCATTTGCAGCTGGGGTCACAGGCATCATACCATCTCGAGACGGAGAGCGAGGGGGCAACAGCGTTGTTGGGTTTGAGTACCGGCTGCTTGAAGCTTCACTCGTCGGTGCCATAGGTTCCAACGGAGTGCCAAAACTAGTAGCGTGAGTAATATCCTTCTCCTGATTCATCTGCGTCTCCAGCAGCGCATCATCGTTTGCAACGTTCCATGCCTCGCCACCACGTCCCGATGGTTCCGGAGTACCCATTCCACGATGCAATGGCGTTGCCATAGGGGTCATGGCACTACCGTGAAGTGGTGTCTGCGACGGCAATGGCGTGGCGCCAGTCATCGGAGTTCCAGCATAGCGAGGTTTGTCCACCACACCGCCATCACGCGTACCGGCCACCGTAATATGCAATCGATCAATGTCCACGACTTTGGCTTTGCAGTGAATCTCAACCTTGACTTTTTGGTCACTTTCGTCAACCACGATACCAATGTAGCCTTTCCAGCGTCCCTTCTTCACCTTCACCGTCTGTCCGATCAGCTCGGATTCGCGCTGGTTTCTTCCACCACGCTGGTTTTGCTGGCGCATACCTGCATCCATTCGAGGTACCGTTGAGTTTGAAATCATGTCGGAGCGTGCCTTGCTTCCAGACAGGATAACGCCACGCGCACGTGCCACAAAGATGCCGGAGTTCGTCGCAATGCGATTGTTGTGAATGAAAAGATAGGTCCGGTAAATATGCTTTACCGTTCCACTGTGACCCGAAAATGGTCCTTCCACAACATTCACCATTTCGCCGACACTAACATGGTTGTGCTTCTTGTCTAGCGCTGCCGTAGCACGCGAAGATACAATCTTTCGCTGCACCTCCTGATCAGAAATAGTCCTGGATTGACCATTCTGGCACAGCACTGTAAAGCCCTCGCGCCCGACATGCGTGATCATGCCCACATCACCGTGCGCAAGAGCAACAAGATCGTACAGCTCTTTCCCCTTGTAGGAATCGAGTCCTTGACTAATCTCAGCCGACTCCTGCAAGTCGCGTACACGCACTTGAATTTCACGCGCCATACTGTCCACTAGCACAACAGCTACGGGAGCACCTTCGCTATCATCCACTGCTACGACTGTGCCAGTCTCGCCTGAATACATGCCAGATACCACCTTAATGTGGTCGCCAACCTTCACATACTTCATAAGCTGTTTAAGTTGAAAGTCCAAAATGGTGTCCTTGATTTCTTCGTGGAGTGGCATGACACGGACAGTGTCGTTGGCTGAGTTCGTGCTCAGCACGACGCCCATGAGGTTGATCAGGTCACCTTCGATTACACGCACCGTATCGCCCTTCGTCAGTTCCACTTTACTCTTCCAGTCATCAGCTTCCACAGAGGCTAGCATATCTTTCGTAGTGTGCTCGCCATCTTCCTCTGCAACGGACGAGAAACGATTAATATCTTCCAGCGTCGGATTCAAGTCTTCTGTCGACAGCATGGTAGCAATATTCACTTCTTTAATCAGAAACCCGTCTTGATAGAAATCGTTGTCAAAACTGTCCATCATCTCTCCTGTCGAAGGATATCGACGACGGGCCAGGTCCGCCCCGGGGACCATGTTCGCATGGAACAGCTTTTGCGGTGGGCGTTGCCCTCTTTTGTACTTAGGTTGCTCGCCTCCCGCTAGCACGATTGGATCCAGTCGCGGGATCATCTTCACGACAGCACGCGACCCGTTGTCTAGAATTTCAACAATTTTGCAAAGGTCTCCTTTGTACATTCCTGCCCGCTTTATTCGCGCCCAAGCGCCAGCAACTAGCGGCTTTCTCCGCGTTTGGACGTTCAGCACGGACGTCATCTCATGAATAGGCACTAACTTCATCGACCATTGCTGCACATCCCGCAACCCCGTGAGACAATTCTTCGCGTGTGGTTCGCGCTCTGCCTCAACGTAGATAAATCCTTTCGAGTTCGAGGCCACCACCGACTTGATCATGAGTGGCTCGCCACGGCGAGAAAACTCAATAAACTTCTTCATAAGCGCCACGACAAGATTTTGTTCGTGACCTGGTTTGCACTTGAACACCCACATCCGGGGGTCCTGGATCGACGGCAGCAGCGACTGCTGCGCCACTTCACTCTGGACCACCTCGCCGCCGTCCTCGTCGCCGTCGTACTGTTTCCGGCTCTGTTGATGGCGCTTTTTAATGCGATTGACAATCGCCTCTGCACTCTCCGACTCGTCAAACTGCGTGCGATCCTGTGGCTCGTAACGGTACGAGTGGTGCCCCGCCTCGACCTCTTCGGCCATTTGGCGCTCGGAGCGATAGAGGTCGTCGTCTTCTTCCTCGTCTTCCTCCTCTTCCTCGTCCTCATCGACGTCCGCCTCTTCCTCAATGAACTTGTTCACGGGCTTGCGGCGTTTCTTCGGCTTGGGCGGTTTCCGGTCCACGGCCTTGCGCTTCTTCACCGGCGTCTCGTCCTCTTCCTCGTCTTCCTCGTCTTCCTCTTCTTCCTCCTCCTCTGGGATCTCGTCCTCGGACGCCTCCTCCTCCTCGGACACGTTGCGCTCGAGCTCCTCTTCGCTTGACGACATCTCGGCCACTGAAGCGACAGCCAACGGACGGACACGGGCAAGTTCGATCGATGGAATGAAGGGGGTCGGCCTCACGCAGCTGTCGGGTCTTAATCCCTCTCCAAACCGATACCGGCCTCACGCCGCTGTCGGGTCTTAATCCCTCTCCAAACCGATATCAAGTTCACTCCGACTCGTCGAGTTTTTTTTTTTCACAGTCTAACGCTCGTGTCCCCAGCTGACAATGATATTTGTGCGGTTTGTGCCACCGAACGAGAGCGTGTCGGGGTGATGTCGTGTACCGCCAGCGTCGTCGTTCCCCCTGGTATTCTCGAGAAGCGCAAGTCGCGGCATGACGGACCAAGCGATCGCTGGGACAGCAGAAAAGGCGGCGATAGCACCGATCAATGTGCTGCTAGGGAAGCCGACGGTGCTGGCGCGGGTGGTGGCTTTTGCCGGGTCGGTGGACACAAGAGTGCTCGGTAATAGAGCTAATGCTGTGATGGCAGGCAAACACGATGCCTGAGAGTGGACCTCTAATGGACTCAATGTGATGTGACTTTACCACTGCTGCTGGTACCGCTTTTCTACTGTGCTCTAGTGTGTCTCAATCGCAATTGGGCGAGGGAAATGATGAAGCCGTCGGTGTGGGAGATCTCTGCTGGTGTCCCGTACGAGCCGCTACTGATCAACTGCTTCCGTCGCGCTGCCAACTATTGCTACCGCGAGGTAGACGCCCCTTCCCCGTAAAGTCCATTGCTCTTCGAACTGCTGCTTGTCGTGTTTGTCATGGCATGAGGTACTTATTGCTGTAATTATGTGGTTCTATGATGGATGCAACTGAACAGAAACGTGAACCGAAGAGGATCGCCTCCTGCAATCCGAGCCTGTCTGTTGAACGAGCGCACGTCAATGCGCGAATACGTGCACGACTTGAAACTCATGACGGCAGAAAACGAGTGGTTTGATAAATCGCCCAGTGTCCTCAGGTTGAGTGACGTGTCGGAATCGAAAAACGATGGGCACCGAAACGTGCAGACAGCTTTCCAGAATCCGAAATTGTTGAACACCCGATTCAGTCGAAGTCAGGATGCACGAGTACGTGATGAGTGAAAGCTGCGCTGACCCGAGTCACACTTTGCTAACGAAAGCGTTTCCTACCCACTGCATCATGATTGCATTTTTGTGCGTAGCTAGTATCAGGCGCTGTTGATCAAGAGCGTGCGAGTTTTTACTTGTGGTCGCTTGAAAAACAGCAACTCCGCGCGTCGATGACGCAAGCCAATGCTTCGTGCTTCGATGTGTGTGACGAAGCTCTCGCTGTGGGCTGTACCGATGGTGCAGTCAAAATCTGGAGCTTTTCGTCGCTTGAAAGCCGCAAATTTGAAACAACGTCAGTAGTAAATGCTTCGCCCACGACATCGATCTCCCATCGCTCCAGTTTAGGAATGGTTCCTTTCATTAGAACGCGAGCAAAAGACAAGGTGGTGAACGTCAGAATTGATCACAACGATGGCACTTTCTTACATTTGGCAACCTCGACGGAGAAAGGGGAAGCAAATATTTGGGATGTGACAAAGGGAGAAATCATCGTGTCCATCCCGTCCAGCAAAATCCACAAGTCGATGCTGCCGCGGTCACAGAGAGAGTCATGTCCGCAGATCACGAGCTTGATGCTGCTTCGTAACACGCTCGTATGCGGCACATCATGTGGCCTCATCCGTGTCTTCGATTTGCGCAGCAGCCGACTGACGCATCGACTCGCCGGCCACCCTGGTATGCGTTCATCACGTGATCACTATCTGCTGTTATTTTGGCTCATGTGTTTTCGATACCCCATGTGTTGCAGGTGCTGTGGTCAACGCAGATACTAAGGGACGGGTGTTGTGGTCAGCGGGTAGTGAGGGCACTGTTCGTTGGTGGGGTGGAAAAAGTGCAAAGATACTGTCGAAATCAGCTTTGTGCGAAGGCACGATCTCCGCTCTTGAAATGGACGAGACTGTAGTCGTTGCAGGCTATTCGAAGCAGGGAATGGAGGCTTGGGACGTGCGGACTCAACAATCGTTGTGTACGTTCAGCAACCGCAAACACGGAGGTGTCCAAGCGCTTCAGTTTGACAACCGCAAGCTTGTTAGTGTGTCATCAACCGGCAAGGTAGGCTTACCTATCTGCAGGTACATATTGCTGCTTGCGTTAACGTGCATCTGCTTTGTCCAATGTGCAGGCAGCGCTGTGGAGATGGTACGAACCCAACCCTGTGCGATGGTTTGAACCTCCGACTCCAACCGCACGCTTCGTCTCGACAAAGTTCAATGACCGGCACCTTGTGTTCGGTACCGACTGCGGAGAGCTTGTGGATTACGACCGACTCGCCTCGGTCGTTTAAGCCTGTCGTGCGCTCTGTTGTCAAACAGGTCATGTGAAGAATTGAAGCAAGGATAGGATAGGAAGCTTGGTCCCAAGCGCGAAATCACGAAATTCGTGTGTCTGTTCGTATGAAGTCCATGGCGTTACTTGTTGTAGCAACGCTTCACTAGAAATTTGAAGGCTTGAATAGTAAGACGTGAGGGGCTTTTGCCGATATTGTACACATGCTCTTGCTGAGCGCTTGGTTGTGTTTTCTCACATTCAGCTGCAAGGATCTACAACCTCGTCAACAGTTGACGACATCTGATGCGCGTAGAGTGTCGTTACAAATACTGAAGACCACCGTCAGCATCCAAAAGGTTCACAAGTTTTTTTTGCACTTGTGTTCGCGAACAACGCCGCGCAGACGTTCATGTGGCAGAACTAATCCTCCATCTGCGACTTTTACTCCAGCAGGGTACTGCAGTAGCAAGTCACTGGATGCTGATGTAGTTTCATGCCGCACAACTTGGGCAGGCCGACTCTTGTCAAAGTGTCAGAGGCTGACTGCTGTATAATGACATGACGACACGAGCACAAACGTTACAGCTGTCGGTGTTAGATACACCCTGCTTCACTCTCTTCTGCACACATTCTACGACACTTCTATAAGTCTGCTTCGGACGCGACAACCACTCCGGTAACAGCGACGTATACATCTCTAAAAAGAATCGTCGTGGAACAACGAATCGGAGATCGCTGTAAACCCCACATAGACGATCTCGGAGCCATCTCTTTCTTGTCGAACACAAATCGGATAGCACTCTGCTCGGCAATCGACTGGAAGAAGGCACAGACCGTCTTCCAGTGAATAGGGCCACTTGTGGCGAGGGCACGAGATGCACGGTGTACCGTCAATGTCTTCGATATCACCAAGATGAAGCGACGCAGCTTGGTGGGGACACGCGTTCTGGATGGCGTACAGTCCACCTTTATATTTAAATATTGCCACTGTCCGTCCATTGACATCCACTTTGGTGCCTAAAAGCAGCAAACCAAACACGGGCGAAGTATCTTCAGAGTCGACACATGGACACATTCGTATACAGAAGGAAAGCGCATGGCTTCTCTGCAACAAGTCGTACGAACCTAACGTTGTAATGGCCGATCCAGGTTTCACGCGCTTCCGTCCATTGACGCTGTACTCGTATTGTCTCCGATGTTCGGTGGCTTCTACCACATCTGATTTACATAAATATCAAATATGAGAGGGTTCTAAAAATGGTCATCGAATGCACGACGTCGTCAAAGACGCACCTGATGAACGCACGTGAGTTTTAAACCACAGATAGCAGCTGTCGCCATGGTCATGGCGGTTCCAATACCGTCGCACAGACGTCTCGGTCACAACCTCTTCTTCCATCCACGAAGACAGACGTCTCGAGCCGTCGATCATGTCGTCGACTGCCGCCGCGCGCCCGACACGATTCAAATTTAAACTTACCTATGTATCCATTTCTATCCAGTCGATCGATTTCCACAGGGTATGATAAATCGCAGGCTGACCCGCGAGCGGAGGCGTACCATCACATTCTGGAATCTTTCGCGAGTCAGCCAAGCCAAGTCGTTTCTAAATTCCGATTTTCGTTTCTAAATTCCGAAGTCAGTTTTGGATGGCGAGCAGATACGGCGATGACTTTCGCAGTCGCGGTCGAGATCGCAGCAGGGAACGGGGTTACGGAGCAGGACGGGGCGGTAGCGGAGCAGGAGCTGGAGCTGGAGCGGATAGAGGATACAGCGGTGGACGGTCAGGCGGCGGGGGCTACGGCCGCGAGCGACCGGGCGGTCGTCGTAGCGAACAAAGTGGCGGAGGCGCCGAGCACTTGGCGCGGATCCACGGCACCGAAGAGGACCGTGTGAACTGCCCCTTTTATTTCAAGATTGGCGCGTGTCGCCACGGCGATCGCTGCTCGCGACTGCACAACAAGCCCGTGTTCAGTCAGACGATCCTCGTGAGCCACATGTACCAGAACCCGATTGCGCAGGTGATTGCGCAGAATGGGGACCCAGTGTCGCTGGACCAGCGGCAGGTGGACGAGGAGTTTGAAGACTTTTACGAGGAGATTTTTGAAGAGCTGTGCAAGTTTGGCAAGCTCGAGGAGCTCAATATCTGCGACAATCTCGGCGACCATCTCGTGGGCAATGTGTATGCCAAATACGATGACGAGGAGCACGCGGCAGCAGCTCAAAAGGCGCTCTACGGTCGCTTTTATGCCGGTCGACCGCTCGTGTGTGAGTTTTCGCCCGTGACGGATTTTCGAGAAGCGCGCTGTCGCCAGTTTGACGAGGGCACTTGTAACCGCGGTGGCTACTGCAATTTCATGCACATTAAGACGGTGCCACGGGCCATGCAGCGCGAGCTAGAGAAGACGTTCAATCGCGGTCGTCGTGACAAAAGCAGAAGTCGCAGTGGCAGTCGTGGACGAGGACGGCACGCGCGAGGACGGTCACGTAGTGGATCGCCTGATGGGCACCAAAGCGACTTCTCTCGACGTAAAGGCAGCCGGAGCCGCTCCCTGTCGCCAGGCAAGAAAGTCCGTCGTAGTCGCTCGCGCAGTTTCAGCCCGCGGTCGCCTACTCGTGAGTCGAGTCGAGGGGCTGGGAAGCTGAGCGAGAGTGCCGTAGAGAAGCATCGCTGAGGGCCATTTTGCATTTGCCGATTCGATTCTCATTTCGTTGGCACATACGCCCCGTCGTAAGAAAAGAAGGGCGGGTAGAAAGACCCGTTGTGTTCTCCTCCTGACGCATTTTTGCTGCACCGCAGAGTAGTGGGCTAATACATGGATTTATTGCTCGAGTATTCCTTGTCATGCTGGTGTCCAGATCATGTTTCGTATAGGCGGCGCCAGGAGCAAGTGAGTGGTCACAGACGAAGTCGAAAGCTACATGTTGTACAGCCACAAAAATCGCTCTATAGCACAATGCCCTTTCTGGCCGATTCCATGCTCCCTCCGCCCCTAACTAGACGACACCATCATCATAGAAGGCGTCCTGCATATGCTGTTTCCTTTTACGGTCCCCTCTTAGCTCATTGCTGCGCTGCTTCCTCGACGCCGATTTCTTGTCAAAGACATCGCTCTAGTTCAAACAATGAGCCACCATAAGAAACACTACGTTGCAAGCATAGGTTGATGTGAGTACCCACGACGCACCCTGTCCACTTTGCGGTCTTCCAAAGTCTCTGGTAAGTCCAGCAGTGCACGAAGCACGTTATTGTACTTGATGTGCTCCTGAAGACCAGTCCTCAGACAATCCTTTATTGCTTCAAACTGCTTGACAGATCTCCACGAGCTGATCTCAAGCACTTCGCTCTTCACCGTAAAAGATACGTGCGGGGTTTCGCCAGTCTACCGGTGGCAAAAGACACGGTACGGTCAGCGGCTATCGTATTGTCAATGCATGGGACATTGCACGATTCAAACCTTACAGCAAGCGTTGAATAAATGTCTCGAAAGACACTGCGCTGGGTCTTGCGATCTTTCTTGCTATTCTTCTTGCTGTTGTCCTTGCTCATTGTGAGGAAACGCCCAAGAATCTCTTCGTCATAAGGCAGTGACACGCCGCAATTCTGCGCGCATTCATACAGAAAGGCTACATTTTCGCCAGCAGCAGCGCGCACTTCAACATCTTTGTGATCGAGTAGGGCCAGGAACTTGGGCAACAATCTGTTGATTGTACACAGTTTGATATCAGACGAACAACTTGGTCAACTACCGTGCTGCAAGACACAGTCGCGGAATTCCTCACAAGCAGTATAACAACGTTCTTACCTCTCAAGTGAATCATCGCTGACGAGAACCTCATCTAAAAGGGATGACACGAGTAGTCCCCACGAATCAAGCGCGGCTTTGCATATCCCACCAGCCAAGTTCGGATCGAAAAACGTCTCGAGGAGCTCCAACAGCCGTTCCGTATTGTCCTCCTCGGCACTGCACACAAAGCAGATCAATGCGAGCGCCCGGATCGTCTGAGCAAGTGACACCGAACATGAGCATACTTACACACTATAAAACAACGTGTATCGGTAACGATAGTCACGTACCGCCACCTTGACCTTTGCACTTCTAGCTGACTTGGTCAACGGCTTTAGTACAGCTTTGGATCGCTGAAACAGACGTTCGTTGTCGTCTCCATAAATAAGCGCCAACACCGCCAAGATGCGTGCTCCAAACACTGCTTCATCCTCAGACGGCTTGCGTAAACATCCGAGCACATTGTCCATCAAGCTGGCAAGAGATACAGTCGTGACTCTTCAACGCTGGCAGTAGATTAATCCAGCCATTGTATCACGAGCGTACCTTTCGGGAACATCTTCTGGTGCCATGTACTGCAACAAGTGACTCATCAGCTTCTCTAACGATGCAACTCGTGTTGTCGCTCTGAGCATAAAAGTGCGTACATGACAAGACCCATTACACATACAATGAGCATAACCATCCATCAAGAGTGTACTCACGTACGCACCTCTCCTCAGTCAGCTCCTCAATAGTTTCATCAATCTCTTGTTCGTCGTCCAAATTCTTCGAATAGCCATCGTACAAATTTTCGTCGTCCAACGTGGTCGAGCCGCGGACATCCGTGAACGCGACAGATGCAGCTGCGTCTCCGTCATCCTCTGCATGGACCATGCGCCTAGCTCCTGTAACACAATCACCAAACACACGGTATTAGAATTGCAGCCCATTAGTCGCCTATAAGAGCTGTCTGCACCTCCGCGTTTTTTTCCCATTACAGACTCGACCCCGGGTCTCAAACGGTAATGACCCTGCTGGTCTGTCACTGTAGCTCTCGTCTGGTGTCCAAAACAACCTGTGAGAATTAGTACCATCTGTTATGCTGGCTGATTCCAATATGAGCCAATCGATGACAGCGAAGGAGTCGACAGGAAATTTCGCCATACTATCTGTCGAGAATACTCTCAAAAGAACATCGGAGCGGTTACGTCTCGCAAAATCAGTAGTACCGTCGCACTTGTCCAAGGTGACTGCATCGTCCATTTTTCTATTGGCGTGGACCACACACACCAATTACATCCACGTGTTCTCCCTACTTTCTCTCTGTGTTTTTGTATCGAGCTGACACGCGAGCGCTATGAGTTCGCACTTAGTGACGGCAGGAGACGTGAACGAGACGGCCGACGGGATGCGGGAGCTCGTTCATGTCACCGAGAACGCCCTGGCCCGTAGCGACGCGATCGAGACCATTGACGAGGCGCTCTATAGCCGTCAACTCTATGTGATGGGGCGCGAGGCGCAGCTGCGCATGGGCGCGTCCAACGTCCTGATCATTGGCCTCAATGGCCTCGGCGTGGAAATCGCCAAGAATGTCATTCTTGCGGGGGTGAAGAGTGTCACTCTCCACGACGACCTGCCCGTGTCGATGCTTGACTTGGCTTCGCAGTTTTATCTGTCCGAGGCAAGTGTTGGCAACCCACGCGCTGCGGCATCCCTGAAGAAACTGGCCGAGCTGAACCCCTACGTGTCTGTCCGTTGCCACAGCGGCGAGATTACAGAGGACGTGCTACTGGACTTTCGGGTAGGGGTAGTAGTAGTAGTACTGGTTTTGGTGTGATGATTGTGAGCTGGTCTGAGATGGGCGCACGACAGCAGTACTGACAAGTTCTTGTGTTGTGTACAGGTGGTGGTTCTCGTTAATGCCTCGCTGAAAGAAGCGGTGCGGATTGACAAGTTGTGTCACGCACACTCGATTGCATTCATTGCAACCGAAGCGCGAGGTGTCTTTGGCTCGGTTTTTTGCGACTTTGGGGACGAATTTATTGTGGCCGATCAAGATGGTGTCGAGCCTGTCAGTTGCCTGATCTCGTCTATTTCCAACTCGGCTCCTGCTTTGGTAACTGTGAATGATGACACACGTCACGACTTAGAAACGGGAGATTTGGTCTCGTTTCGGGAAGTGGTGGGATTTCCATTCTTGAACGACAGCAAGCCGAGAAAGGTGACTGTCACTGGCCCGTTCACGTTCACATTGGATGCCATCGATGATGACGACAAGAGGCGCTTCGAGCTAGGGCGTCCGTCCACAGGTGGCTACGTCACCCGAGTGAAGCAGCCCCTGGTGACTAAGTTCAAAACCTTAGAGAAAACACTTGCGGCGCCCGGAGAGTCCTTGGTCAGCGATTTCGCCAAGCTGGGTCGTTCCGAGCTCCTTCACGTGGCATTTCAAGCATTGGATGCATTCCGGGAGAAACATAACGGTAACAACCCTAAGCCAGGGTGCATGCAAGATGCGGAAGAAGTGTGCACTCTCGCTTTTGAAATCAACAAGCAATGTGCTGCAAGTAACCAGTTCAGTGTCGAGAATATTGATGCTGCTGATTCGAAGACGATTATATGTGCACTCGCAGCTGGCGCCACTGGTGTGATCTCGCCGATGGCAGCTTTTCTAGGAGGCGTTGTTGGCCAGGAAGCTCTCAAAGCCTGTAGCGGCAAGTTCACTCCAATCCAGCAGTTTTTCTACTTTGATGCGGTCGAGTGTCTTCCAGACGCCGTATTCGCTGGCAACACCGATGAGTTCGCCCCCACCGGGTCTCGGTACGATGGTCAGATTGTCGTGTTTGGCCGGAAGGTTCAGGACGACATTAAGGGCCTGAACATGTTTCTTGTGGGTGCCGGTGCGATCGGGTGCGAAATGCTGAAGAACTGGGCGATGATGGGCGTGGCATCTAACGAGAATGGCATCATCCATATCACGGACATGGACACCATCGAAAAGTCAAATCTGAACCGGCAGTTTTTGTTTCGCTCGAAGGATGTACAACAAGCGAAGTCGTCCGTTGCTGCTCGAGCCATCAAGGCAATGAACCCGGACATCAACGTACAAGCTTACGTGTCTCGCGTTGGCAGTGAATCCGAAGGTCAGTTTAATGACGACTTCTTCGAGTCACTCTCTGGTGTGTGCACGGCACTCGACAATGTAGAGGCACGTTTGTACATGGATCAACGCTGTTTGTTCTACGGTCTCGCAATGTTTGAATCTGGAACGTTAGGAACGAAGGGTAATACGCAGATTGTCGTTCCGCACAAAACCGAGAACTATGGCGCGTCTCGGGACCCTCCTGAGAAGAGCATCCCGATTTGCACACTAAAGAACTTCCCCAATGCAATCGAACACACTCTTCAGTGGGCGCGTGATTGGTTCGAGGGCGAATTTTTCCAGGCGCCGTCAGATGCTAATCGTTACTTGGAGGAGCCGACATTTTTGAAAGGACTTGACGAGCAGCAAAATACGAAGTTGGAAACGCTCGAAAGGCTGAAAAGCTCGCTGGTGGACGATTGCCCTAAGTCATTCGAAGACTGTATTTCATGGGCTCGCTTCAAGTTTGAAGATCTTTTTAGCAACCAGCTCAAACAGCTCTTGTACAACTTCCCTCTGGATCAGGTACTGTTTGATGGTAGCATTGACTCGTACCACTGGAGCTAACATACGTTTTTTGATATAGTTGACGACGTCGGGAACTTCCTTCTGGTCTGGACTAAAGCGACCGCCGACGCCAATTTCTTTTGACCCAAACGATGCGCTGCACATGGACTTCATCGTGTCGGTTGCAAATAGCCGTGCGAAAAACTATTGCCTCAAGGGACACACGGACAGAGACACATTTGTCAAAGTCCTCGCCGGCATACACGTTCCGGAGTTTGCGCCGAAGAAAGGAGTGAAGATTGCAGCCTCTGATGCCGAACTGAAGGAGGGTAATGCTACGACAGGGCTGGTAGATGTCGACGCTCAGAGCGAATTCATCTTGAAGAAATTGCCAAGTCCCTCGACCCTTGCCGACTACCGCATGCAGCCGGTCGAGTTTGACAAGGATGATGACTCCCACATGGAGGTTGTTGCGTCTGTCTCCAATTTGCGTGCACGGTCGTACAAGATCCCGGAGGAAGACATGCACAAGTCGCGTTTCATTGCCGGCAAGATTATCCCGGCTATCGCCACTACGACAGCACTAGTGACAGGACTCGTGTGCTTTGAGTTTCTGAAGGTCTACCAAAACAAGCCACTGACGGATTACAAGAACGGGTTTGTGAATCTGGCTCTGCCCCTCTTCACTTTTGCCGAGCCGGTTGAGCCTAAGTCGACCAAGACGATGCTGAAGGGCAAGGAGTACAAGTGGACAGCGTGGGACCGTCTTGAAGTGGATCAAGGCGATATGACGCTGAAGGATTTTTTGACCTATTTCGAGAACCAGTACGACGCTGAGGTCACCATGCTATCGTACGGCGTCACGATCCTGTACGCAATGTACTCGCAGAAGTCTCGATCGAAGGAGCGCATGGCGATGACGATCTCGGACCTTGTTCGCACGGTGACGAAGAGGCCTGTTGATCCCAAGCTAAAGTATCTCATTCTGGAGGTGTGTGCCATGGATGGCGATGGCGAGGATGTGGAGCTCCCGTATCTGCGCTATCACTATAAGCAGCAAAAGTAGCTTGCGAGCTATAAAAAGGTTCGAACCATCCGTAGGCGTTCAATGAGATTCTTCAAACGTTGGGACTCTTCCTATGGCAGATCGATCATGTGGGACCATGGAGCGAATTGAGCGCAAACTTTCGGCGACATCCCAATCACGATCGACTGCGTAGCCGGCGGCTATTCGATCTGAGACAGAAGTCGGCAATTTGCAGCACCGGCAAGGATTCCGCTACGGCCATACCGTCTTGTGCGTTTGTACTTCGCTCTAGTGCAAACTCCACACGCTTCGATAGGCACAATCATCTCGTCAAACCTGTGGCCTGCTTCATAGAAGTGCGACCACTGAGCAATGCCCTTACGACCGCACCATCAGCTCTTGCGTTGCCATATGTCCCGTAGGAAGTTCCTCCTGTAGTGTCTAGTCCACGGGCGAATCTATCGCTAGTTGCGCTGCCGACTCTTGGAGACATTCCGGCGGTGTTCGTTCGAGCATGATAGCGATGTTCTCTGTGGTGTCGGCCATGTAACGTGATAGTAGATGTAGATGGAGGATAGCAAGGTGGGTCGAGGTAGATGGGGGAAGGAAGGTAAACAGTGTCCCACCGTCCGAACTCCAAAGGAAGACGGGTGAGGGCATACATCCAGAATGGTGGATGAGGAATAATGACGCGAGGCAACAGTAAGCTTGAGGGCATTCTGCTACAAACACCAGGCAGTTGAAGAATCCCATGAAGAAGGAACCGATACGGTGTGGCAGTCCGTGCAAGAACATTCTGATTCTCGGTTCTCTGGACGTGATGAGCGCTGCTGGGAACACAAGGAACTTGATTACGCCCTCTTGCAAAGCGGAGCCAATAAGCTCCAATTTGCGATTCGGGGAAGAAGACTTACGTGCGGACACCTCTTGTTCACACCCTTTGCTTGGCTTATTGCCATCGCCCACCCACCACTGCTATCAAAACGCAGAAGTGCAACTCCGCTCTCTGTGGTTATTGCCGTTTTCGATGTTTTATAGTGTACCCTGTCGATTTCCCACCCGTGACAACACTGCAATACGCTAATTAGACACGAAAACGCAGGAGCGTGGGTGGGCAAAGGGGCAAGTGAATCTTGCAAATCTATGCAGCGTATGCAGGATCAGCTTCCACTCTTTTTTCTGCGGCAACTGCAACTGTTTGTTAGAAGATGCTGGGAGTAAGCAATATCGCACATTCTGATGTTGCAGTACGTTGCTGTTTGTATGTTCATCGCCGTCGCGTCAATCCGTGCTGACCGTATTCCACCCCAACCTGATTTGCTCTTGTACGTGTCAAACTTCCCAGCCATGTAGGGCTCAGCTTGTGTTGGCAATTTAAAATGACAGCGCATCCACTTGGGTATCTTCTTACAGCCGTTTCATAGATACTTGAAAGGATGAGATCTTCCCGTCAATCAGTAGGTCAGCTGTGAAAATCCGATCAAAGAGTCTTCCTGCTTCGGGTAAAGATATGCACATGATGTGCGAGTAAGTGCTAGAGCATTCCGACGCCTAGTTTTGTGCACACGACCAAGGGTTGCTGGGCAAGAATCAAGAGTCAATCCTTCTACTATTCGCGCACCGCTGTCGGAAGAAGTCGCCGCAGGCACTCCTCACTTTACAATCTGCTCGTAGCTGTCCACATCTCAACATGCGCAAGCTCTGCTACGTACTTACGGCTTTCTGTACCTGTCCCGCGGAACATGCTGAATCGTTGATCGGCAACACAAGCATTACGCCAGACGCGAACAAAAATGCCTCCGACCCGCACAGACTTGGGCACACGTACGCCCTCGTCGCGGACACGAACGTGTCCCTACTTCAAACACTTGCGGACTCGAAAGACTTGGCGGTGCACGGCGTCAACCGCAAAGGCCATGAAAATGAGGAGAGGTGGATATGGAAGTTTCTACACTGGATTCCGTGGAAATATACGCGAGATTCGTGGCTGGAACAGTACGTGAAGATACTTCAGGCTGGGAATCATGACCCCGTGAAAGCCTTTAGATACATTGGTGTTCGGCACACTGAAGATCCTCGGTCCATTCAGACCTGGCTAACTGTTGTCAGATCGTATGAAGTCGAGCATCCTGAGTTTGATGCCGCTGCACGACTCAGCATTTTGACGAGTCGCATGGGAAACGAAGGTGCATTGAAGCGATTGCTACCGATTGCGAATTACGAATTAGGAAACAGCTTCAAACGAGACACTATACCGATGCTGGAAATACTTGCTAACAGATTTGACCCCACTTCAACAGTGTTGCCGGAGGAGTTGCTAAAGCTGAATCGACGTCCTGAATATGCCTACTCACTCCTCAGCTTAGATAATCATTTGGCACTTGAAGAATCGACAAACACTGCGGTTCAGTGGCTGAGGTACGTTAAACTGTGTAGCAGCAACGAGGAGAAAAAAGGGGAATTTGTTACCAGAATGGTGATGTTATTGCTCTATGGGAAAGATGGTCGAGGGGTGGACAAATTACTGGTTCGGTTAGCTCAAGCAAAAGACCTCGCTTGGATAGCCAAATTTGTGGACGGATTGACGTGATACTGATCACGCAGGTCGGACCGGCGCAGCTGGATGAGGGCAAGCGAGGAGGTGGTAGGAGAAGCTGCAATGGCAAATGGCGAATTGTAGTCAGGCTGCACACCTAAAATTACGAATACATGCTGTCGAACGTAGATGTACTTATGGCAAGCTGTTTTTTCGTTGATTTTACATGTGATGTCAAGAGAAAGCTACAAAGACTGCATGTCACGAAGGTCAGATTGTACCGACTTAATGCTGACCAAAGTCTCGCTAATGTACACCGTGTCGGCGAAGAAAGGTTCGAAAACGTCAATCTTTATTACATATTCTATTGACGCATGTTGCTTATCGTTCGTTCCATCAGTACTTTGGTGGTATGGGCGTGATCGTTTGCTGTTGCGCGAGTCCTTGATCAGTCCACCGTTCAGATAAGGCCACGCATCCGTCGCTAGGCATGACCGATCAACAACAAAAAACACACCCGTAGAGCTTAAATGAATGCCCACTCCGCCGCCAAGGCGACGTCAATCCATCTATCTTCATAGTGCAAGCACCATCAGCATATGTCTCATCCTGTACGCAATTCAAACAAGCACGTGACCCAGTCATTTTTTGGCTGACACTAAGGCGTCCTGCAGTCACCGTCAACAGTCCAAGCTGGCGATAGTGATGCCTTCTTCATGTTTATCGACGAGCAGTCGGCACGCCATGAATGACAACCTTTGTTTCATTAGCATCATTCGCAACGTCCGTCGTTCGAGACTCGACTTCCTTCCACAGTAACTTGTCTGCACAAGGGTGCTGCTACTGCATGCACCACTAACGTGCTCATTTCTGTAGCGTCCTGCCACGATCCCTCGTGACGTATGTGTAAGAAGAGGGAGTTAAGTAAAGTAAATGACTTGTATATTACCGCGCACCAGACGCGTTTCGGCCCCCCGCCGGGGGCCTCATCAGTGGTTTGTCAATCTACAAGTGAGAACTATCCATACGTCTAGCTGCCGTACGACCTATAATAATGCATAGAACCCTAAAGAACATTCTAGACATACCCTATCATGGGTCGAATCTCTGGAGTCGAATCCAGTGCATCATGCACTTACAACAGTATGTACACCGTGCACTCTTAGCACGCATGTGGTCCTAGGTAGCTCCGCCACTCTACCCCTCTCTCGTCGCTTGTGTCATCAATAAAAAAGGTGAATAATTTAACGACAGATCTAGCGTGCGCAGCCACTTGGCGTGAAAAGATCGATTGCCCGCGGCTCCCAATCAAAAAGCATCAACTGCCTGCGCCTTCACTTCTTAGTCGACTCACTGTCCATCACTACTCACACGCCGCTAGTTGCGGCTGTAGCGTCGATTTACTAAGCAGTTTATGCTTCAATCCGTGACCACATCAACCTGAAAAATACCTGTAACGGGGTGAATCGTTACATAACAATTTATAAGAAATTGTTAATAGAATATAACTATAAGAGTTATATTCTCAGAATATTGTCATAAGGACAATATTCTGTAGCACTTCCAAGTAGTTCCTAATTGGTTGATATAGGCCATTATATCAACCAACGAAGACGCGCCACGACAGACGCACGCAATGAGTGGTGAGCAGATAACTGATTTACACATTTGTATTTAGACATAGTTAGATGAAGATAAATAGTGATTTATTGCAGACATTAACTATTATAAATACAGTTCTACTTTTTACTCTAACCGAGTACTCGCTTCTTCTTACCGTCTTCCTCTGCACGTACGAGTGTACGTGAAGTTACGAGGCACCGCCTTATTCTGTTATCAGAATAAGTAGCTTGTACTGTCACCAGTACAAGCTTCAGGGTGCCCCGTTACACCTGGTAGCACTTCGTAGTCCGTCCAAGGACCGCGTTCACATCCAACATGAATATGTTGGATGATGAAGATGACCAAAGCTTTCACGCTACGCGTGACGGCTACTCCCATTTGAGCGATGTCGAATGGGATGCGGTTGAACGAATGGGTTCGACCATGGGCATCCATGCTGTTAGCGTCATGCTAGAGGCTCTCAATAGAGATGCCCAACATGCTACTATCGCCAAGTTCATTCAAAATGAACTTGACGCAGAACGCGAGAAAGTAGCCTTGCTTCACCAACAAGGTTCTCAACAAGCAGAGTTGTTGAGAGAACAAGGTGCTCAACAGTTTGAACTGTTGAGACAGCAGCAAGCTGCTGCTGGCGGGTCGATGCACTCGCGTCGACCCGAGACTTTGAAGATTGACATCTCAAAGTATAGGGGGGTCGAAGAAGACTCCCTCTTGAGATGGTTCGTCGAATTGGATGACGCCATAAGGGCGCGTCGCATCGACGACGGGGATATGCAAGTTGCATTTGCCCAGTCAAATCTGGCAGGACGTGCCAAGACTTGGGCACTGGGGCTCAAGCTGCACGACCCATATGCGTTTGGGTCGTTGGAAGTCTTCAAGTCGCGGCTCAGACAAACGTTTGAACCGCCTAGAGCTGAGTTCAGAGCTCGAACCGAACTCTTGAAGCTCAAGCAGGGTAAGCGTGATGTGCACGCTTACGCTCAACATATACGACATCTCACGAGTTGTATAAGTTCCAATCCGGTGGATGAACACACGTTGGTTTCGGTGTTCATGCAGGGTCTTGCGGATGGTCCCGTCAAGACTCACCTGTTCCGGCTTGAACTAGATTCACTAGAACAAGCCATTTCCATTGCGGAGCAGGAAGACTTCAGTCTGAGACAGGCTCGCGCCAGCTCGACACCATATCGTCAACCGAGACGATATGACAACGGAGGTCCAGAGCCGATGGAACTCTGTTATGTAGAGAGCGAGAAGGTTCGCTCTACAGGCTACAAGAAGTTGCAGAGATGCAACAGATGTCAGAAGACAGGACACTACGCTTACGAGTGTAGTGCCCCTCGTCCAGTGTCTCGCGACACTGGGCGTAGTGACCGTCCACCCATGAGAAAGGGGCAGGGACGAGGGTCCGCAGTTGGTGCAAAGACGCAACAACGGGATGGACCGTCAAAAAAACGGACAGGATCAGTAGGTGCGGAGCACCCTACTGATCCAGCAACGTCAAGAGAATTTGTAGGCCTCTTGATGAAGGTTGCTCCCAACACACAGACATTGTGCGTTGCTGCTCTAGGTAATGAGATCTCACTCATTACCTTGAAACTCGAAGTGACGAATAAGTTGTCCCTTCGAGCTCTAGTCGATTGTGGGGCGTCCAACAATTTTGTGCGACGCCAATCGCTAGAAGATGGTCACTTTAAATTCAGTGAATGTGACACACCTCCTACGAGGATGACGGTACGTCTTGCGACAGGCGCATCCGTAACCGTCATGAAGCGTATAGTGAAGATTCACTATACGCTAGAAGATACCCAATACGACGATGACTTTATCGTATTGGATTTGGATGACAAATTTGATGTCATCCTTGGAATACCGTGGCTCAGAAGGTACGAACCACGGGTAAACTGGCAACATCGGACAGTAACGATGCCTGCCGCTTGTTCATCAGATGGCCATCTGATGAACGTTTTGGAGCGTCCACAAGCGTGTGGATGTACTACGAGTGAGTGCGATGGCCTCACTTGTGGTACGGTCGTTAGTACGACTGCACAAAACCTTAGTGTACCAAACGGTTACACTTCGGAGCAAAGTTCCGGCGGCTGTGAGGAAACACAGGCTGCGCCGAAGGTCCACCACTCGAATAAGTCGGGTGGACTGGGACAAAGATGTATCCCTAGAGGGGAACATCTAGAAGAGAAACAATCGATCGCTCAGGTTAAGCGAAACGATAATCCTAGATCGACTGGAGAGTCTTTCGTAGAGGATCTCGCTGTGGTTGCGCAACCCCAGCTAGAGGAAGTAAAGGGAATAAGTCCCAAGATTACAAATACGGCGGAAATAAGTTCCCCGAAACCCGCGGGAATAAGTCCCCGGGAAGACGAAGGAATAAGTCCTTCGAAGCCTGAGGGAATAAGTCCCCAGGAAATGACAGAGACATTGAATGTCATAGTCAATAACGGATCATGTGTAGGCGCTTATACACTTGATCTGATTGCGCCTCCGAAGTTAACTTCGGAGATCACTCAGTTGCCAACGCTCGAACATAAAAGGTTCTTGCGTGATCTGCGTAGTGGCAAAGTCAAGCAGATCTGCATACTCGTCGCTGACGACGAGTGTGTAACCGACATAAGGTCAGCAACAGTGTTTACTGAGAACGAGAGAGTTCTCAGTAGTTCATCTATGGACGAGAGTGTCCTAGATGAAAAGACACGAATTGAGCGATATGAGTCCCAATCATGGGAATCGCTCAAGGAAAACCCTCTCTATGAGGATTTGGTTGAATTCAAGGATGTATTCCCTGAAACTGTTCCGTGCGAATTACCGAAGGATAAAGGTATTCGACACGAAGTCGAGCTTAAACCAGGCTCGAAGTACTGTGTCATGAAGCAGTGGCCACTGCCTCGTGAACAAGTACTTGCGATCGACAAGTTCTTTGCCGATCGTTTAGCAGCGGGCCATGTGAGGGAATCAACTTCCCCACATAGCTCTCCGACCTTCTGTGTGCGAAAAGCAACAGGAGGGTGGCGGATAGTGCACGCGTTCAACAAATTGAACGCTGCAACGGTACCGGCTCAGACGCCGATACCGAGGAAGGACGTAATCATTGATGGTATGTCAAAGAGTACCATCTTTTCGTCCATGGATTTGATGGATGGCTTCTATCAAATCCTAATGCGGGAACGGGATATACCCTATACCGCAGTTAGCACGCCTAGCGGCATGCTCTGGGAATGGCTAGTAATGCCACAAGGGCTCAGTAATGCCCCTGCCACGTTCAACAGGTGTGTATCACATCTGTTGAGGCCAGTACGAGAATTCGCGCCGAGTTATTTCGATGACGTATTCATCCATAGTCGAGCTATGGATGGAAAGTCGGACGTTGAGGTTCACAAGTACCACGTCCGACAAGTTCTTACAATCATGCGAAAGCATCAATTGTATGCAAACCTCAAGAAGTGTATATTTGCAGCAAGCGAAATACCACTTCTTGGGTGCATCGTTGGTAAGAACGGTGTACGTCCTGATCCCGAAAAGATCAAGGCGATCACCGACTGGCCCGTGCCGGTCGATGTCAAAGGTCTTCGAAAATTCCTTGGGCTAGCGGCGTATTTGCATAAGTATTCACGCAATTACGCCGAGATGACTGTACACCTCTCTCGTTTGTTGAAAAAGAACGAGAGGTGGTTATGGAACGCTGAATGTCAACGCTCCTTTGAGGGTATCAAGCAGAGCTTGATACAATCCCCAGTCCTAGCAATAGCCGATCAGGACAGGCCATTTCATGTGGTCTGTGATGCCAGCGATTTCGCAATCGGCTGTGCATTAATGCAGTACGACCTTGAAGGCGTTGAACGCGTCGTCTGCTATCAGTCGCGTCAGCTGCAACCAGCTGAGCGGAACTATCCAGTGCATGACAAGGAACTCCTTGCCATGAAGTATGCACTCGCGAAGTTCAGAGTCTATCTATTAGGAGATAGACCCTTCGTTGTTTACACTGACCATGCGTCCTTACGCACGGCAGTGAACAGCCCGCACCTTTCACAACGAATGGCGCGGTGGTTGTCATTCTTTGCAGAATACAACTTTACGGTCGAGTACAAACCAGGACGACTTAATGTCGTCGCTGATGCACTCTCACGTCGTCCCGACTTTGAAACAGTCGCGAAACCCAACAGTGAGACAGTCACTGTTGCGGTTATGACGTCCTCAGTTCCATCTACAACGTTGTATGATGATGTGAGGCGGGCATACGCCCAAGATGGTGAGATAGTGAAGTTGTTGTCACATCTCTCCCAACCATCCCGAGAATCGTTGAAACGATTGTCGTCTGCGTATCGATCTGCATCAGATCGATACACTACTCGTAACGGTTTACTGTATTATACAGCCGTTTCTGGTGACACACCACGTGTTGTCATTACAGATGATACTGATCTGCGTTTGCGGATCATGTTCGAGTATCACGATGCTCCTATAGGAGGACATCGTGGCCGAGAGAAAACATATCTCACGGTAAGTCGAGACTTTTACTGGCCCCGCCAGTATCAGTTTGTGCGAAAGTATGTTCGCGCATGCGAAGTCTGCCAACGAGTGAAGTCAAGTCCTTCACTGCGTGCACCTTTACAGCCTCTACCGGTTCCGGCTGAGTGCTGGGAATCCATCTCAATGGATTTCGTCTTCGGGTTACCCAAAGACGCACGCGGGAATACGGGTATTCTCGTATTTGTTGACAGATTCAGCAAAATGGTACACCTTGTGGCTGTACCAGAGACAATCACGGCAAGTGGCTGTGCTTGTGTCTTTATTGACACCATCTTCCGACTTCATGGGTTGCCCCGTGAACTCGTATCAGACAGAGATCCACGATTCACTGCTGATTTCTGGCGTTCCGTGTTCAAATCACTCGGAACGCGCTTGAAGATGTCAACATCTGATCATCCAGAGTCAGATGGTCAGACGGAACGTGCCAACCGTGTCCTCGAAGAGATACTTCGAGGATACGTACACTCCTTTAAAAGTTGGAGTGAGTTTTTGCCGATGGTAGAGTTTGCCATCAACAACTCGGTGCATGCGTCCACGACACATACACCGTTTTACGTGAATGGCTTGCGCCATCCGCGTGTACCCACCTTACTAGAGTGTAACTCTGGTTTAAGGGGGGAGGGACTCGCGCGAGCAAAAACGATTTGGTTCACGCTCATCACGCTCTGACGAAGAAGTCATTGCGTTTGATGCCGATATCGATAACATCGATATCGAAGAAGATGATGCCAGTGAGAGTGCGGAAGCCCTCACTGAAGACAATGATCCCAGTGAGAGTGCGGAAGCCCTCACTGAAGAAAAGGTTGTTGTCGCTGCAGTGCGCTCACAGCACACTGAAGCTAACGAGTCATCAGATGAGTTCATACTGGCTCGTGAAACGGTAGTCCGTTTTGTGCAAGACTCCATCGCCGAAGCGGTGGATAAGCAAAAGCAAAACGCTGACAAGAATGGAAGGGCAAACACTCTTTTATTTAATAAAGGTGACTTAGTCCTACTGTCTACGGTTAATCTACCAAAACATGTAGTGACTAACTTGGGTAGCAGTAAACTACTACCCAAGTACATTGGCCCATTTCGTGTATTGCACCGCCTAGGCAATGCATACACGATCGAGTTACCACGTAAGATGCGAACGCATCCCACGTTTTACGTTGGTCGGCTTAAGCCGTACCATCAGTACGCTGCTTCTTCCGATGAAGAACGCCCTTGCGCTCAAGCATCTCGCAGAGAGCCTTGTGCTCCCGATGGTGGGCATCAACAAGGGTCTGAAGAGCAGTTATCTCAGCCCGAGACCGATCAACAATCCCACGAGCTACCCTTAGCTCGTCACGAAGAGATGTCAGAGATCTCTCGTTCTCAAGCTGAGCAAAGGCAAACTCAGCTCGATGCTTCGAGGCAGTGTCCACCATCTGGAGACGCCTATTCCGCTCATGCTCGAGATCGTCGCGTAACCCTTGCGTTACGCGATCAAAGAAGCTCTCGGGAACACACCGATCCACATGATCGTGTGGAGAGCGTCTTTCCTCCTCCTCCACCTCCATTAGAGGACTCTCGCGGTGGCCAGCGCTATCTAGTTGAGCAGCTGTTGAACCACCGCGACGTGAACGGACGTCGGACGAGTTATCTCGTCCGGTGGCGCGGCTATCCCCCGTCCTGGGATTCTTGGGAGCCCCGCTCCCAACTGATGATCGACGTACTGGGTCTGGTTGAGCAGTACGACGCGGCACATCCTGTGCCGCAGAAGGACCGCCGGAGAAAGTCTTCCCGGCACGGTCGTAAAGGGATTTCAGGTTGTCAATCCCTTCGTACATCTCAGTAGAGACACGTACGCGCCACCACGGGCTGGTAAGGAGGTAAGCCTCCTTAGGTGCTCTTGCAGAATTGTTCACACAACATGGCACGAGTCTCCCCATGAGAGGCGGGGTAATCCCTTCTCCCTTGACAGACGATGCAGCTTGTAGCGTTCACCTGTCGGGGTTCGCTTTTCAAACTTATCACGAGCTTTGACAAGTTCGTCGTTCCAAGCGTCACGACCTACATCCTCAAGGTTATGGATGTAGGCGTTCCACGCTTGAAGCAGTGAGGGACCGTCACGTTTGTGATTCCCACTGTACCATCGATGTCTGAAGAAAGCATCGATGAAGAACTCATTTTCAGCGCGATAGTCTTTCGCGCTGGGGTCAAGGTGATGAATCCTCGACGAATCGAACAATCGTGTTCGATAACGATCACTCGTCGTCGCCGACAAGTGATCCATGACAGAATTTAGGAGGCATCCATGCCTTCTTTTCTGGAGCGAGACGCAACACATTGCGGTCCCGCTCTTCCTGCGACGTGCCGACAGAAGTACTGGCACCTCGCTGTGAAGTGGTGTCCATTGGAGAAACGACACCACTATTAGCGCCCGAGTCTCGCGACCTCGAGCGCCTTCGCTTCGGCGATGGTTCATCTGATGAGTCAGATGAACCAAAGATGCTGCGACGCAAAGCATCGTCCATGCCACGCTTGGCAGGCGGCTTGGATTCAATTGCCGTCGATACGGATCCGTCATCCGTATCAGGAGAGTACGAGACACCGAGCTCGTACTCTGTGAAGACACGAGTGTCTTCATGACCAGCGCCTGCATCACCAGGTGATACAGGCTGAGTCGATTCAGCAACCGATGGGATATCAGTTGCTGTAGTTTCTGCTTCGGCGTCCGCACAGAGACGTGCAGACGCGCTCTCGGCGGCCTTGCTCGCGCATCGCATGGGCTTGTTTACCATGCGATGAGATGTTGGAAAGTGGACGCGGACCAACAAGTGCAAACCCCGTCCCAAATGATTTGGGACGAGTATCCATTTAGTCAATCAGTCACTAAAGTGACTGATGGTTAAGGGGGGTGATGTAACGGGGTGAATCGTTACATAACAATTTATAAGAAATTGTTAATAGAATATAACTATAAGAGTTATATTCTCAGAATATTGTCATAAGGACAATATTCTGTAGCACTTCCAAGTAGTTCCTAATTGGTTGATATAGGCCATTATATCAACCAACGAAGACGCGCCACGACAGACGCACGCAATGAGTGGTGAGCAGATAACTGATTTACACATTTGTATTTAGACATAGTTAGATGAAGATAAATAGTGATTTATTGCAGACATTAACTATTATAAATACAGTTCTACTTTTTACTCTAACCGAGTACTCGCTTCTTCTTACCGTCTTCCTCTGCACGTACGAGTGTACGTGAAGTTACGAGGCACCGCCTTATTCTGTTATCAGAATAAGTAGCTTGTACTGTCACCAGTACAAGCTTCAGGGTGCCCCGTTACAATACCTCTATTTCCTGCACTTTCGGCTCTCGAGTATATAGTGGACACCTCATCATACACTTCTATCGGAACGCCGATAACTCGAGTCTCGTAAACACCTACTTCGCCGGACGAGGACTATCTAGTTGAGATTGGCGTGTCAAACAATAAAGGTGAACAGTTATTCATCCAAATCAGCGCAGTGGTTGATGCTGGCGTGGAAACACCACTCAAATAAAGCAGCCTTGACCTCAGTTGCTCGACATTGTCTATTAAGCGGCGCTGGCGGCCATACTCGGACAAAAATTGACAAGATGTCTGGAGTCCCATTGTTCCGAAGAACACGAGAACTCAATTACGAATATTGCTTTTTTCTCGCACACTTGATCGGGATTGGAACTGAACAGTGCGGGTAATTGTTGTAGGAAATGGGTAAACACACTCCCACATTTTACCATCCCCGCACCCCCTAAACTGGTATTCGTAAAGTACTCTTCGGTGTTTGGCAAATATTTTTAGGCACGTATCGACACCGTTTTCAGTGTTGCACAAGCCCCTACGAAACCGCATGCTCACCCTCAACACGCAAATAGAACGTCCTCAATATTAATCTCGTACCTACATGAACAATTTTTGGTGTCCTTTGTTGCAACACTTGCTCTGGATGATATCCATGATACCCTCACTGATGCACAGATTATTGAACACAAAGCTACGAACGTAAAGGGCGTCTGCATCAAGTCGCTCCGAAGCAAAGTAGGAAAATCGAAGTGAAACTAGTCTGACTTGGTTGCAGCCATGGAGGAAAACATAGGGCGGAAGGTTACGGTCTGCATAGTACAAGTACTCATCTACTTGGTTGACCATGATGCATCATCGTGCTATAGGGCGTAGAAAACGCTGCTGTACAATTAAAACAGATGCGCCAAACACAATCACGAGCGCACCGACGATGGTGCGGCTTTTTTTGCGAGTATGTTAATGATGTTTTACTCACAGCAGCAGTAAGCTAAACATTTGCCAAATCGTACTGTAAAGAAGCCATGTGATATCTTCTTTATGCAACCGTAAACGCTTTTGATAACAGTTCGAGACATTTCAAAATTGAAAGAAAAGTGCCGTAGGAGCTACTTGCAAGGCCGCACTCCCCTAGAAGCCTTACTGGATGACAGCAGAAAATGGGTATCACAGGCTTTATTATGGGAGGGGGACATGAGACCTAAAGCGTTCAATTTCCTGATTACCGCAGTCAGGATATGAGTAATTTTACCAAACAAACTTCCACTCATGGACTCCACGTACAAGCTAAATTGGTGGGTGTTACGATTCTTTATTTTATTTGAAGCGTATGCGTATTGATACTCATCTCTAATTTACTTGACTAGCTTCCGGGATACCACTACTACATGTGATAAGTATCACTGGTTACAGTGATACTTATCACATGCAGTAGAGCGTCAGTCTCATAATGTGAAGGTCGCCAGTTCGGTCATGGCAGAGAGCAAATCTTTGACAATTTCTTTGTTCTTACTTCATCAAGCGAGAAATAGGTGCTGACTACCTCTGGGAGCTGAATGAAAATGAGTGTTTTTTTCAAACTGGAATCAAGGCGACGTCGCTATTGTTGCAGATAGAAAGGGATCCCTCATGGAATTGTATAAAATCACACCTGAACGCAGTTTTGTTGTGCATGTGGCGCATAGAAAATATTTTTAGCAGAATTAGGATTAAAAATTAACTCCAAAGACGACGGGGCTAATTTTGATCCCTTTAGCGAGTCATCTGTCAGCCAGCTACCGAAATTCTGTACGTGAAGAATGACATGCTACTGCATGACAGAGTTAGGGAGAAAGTGCGTTTGATTGTCCTAACAACACATGTCTTACCCATAAGAAAATCTTTACCTGTACGTGGGCTAGCAAAATCAACACATTGAACACTGTGACTTTACGGGTTGAAGGAGGACATGCAATGATAGAAAAGTGGATAGCTGTATCATCTTAAGATCTTGCAACCGTGCATAGTCGGTTGCACATGACTCTCGAGAATCAAAAGTCCACTACAAGTCAACGCTTCGCATTCGAGCGCTCGATGCATTTGAATTGCGTGTATATTTCTTTTAGTCGGTGCTGTAAAGATACTGCACCATCCAATAAACAAGCTAACTATAGAAGCTTTATTTACCCGGAGAAAATAAACTATTTAAATCAGATATTAATTGCGAGCCCGAAGGGTAAAGCTATTAGCGAGTAAGCGCACGGTTGAATGCCGAGCTTTTAAATCGTACTCGTCCGTCTGTCCTTCAGTCATTTTGTCTGCGTGTCTGAAAATGCGCGTTTAGGCGTACCTTACACATAATAAGTACGATCTAGCCTGTCCCTCCTCATAGGTCGATTAGCTGATCGATGTCACTCTTTGGCTAGGTCACTATTGAGACGCACGCATGTGATTGGCTCAAAATCAATCAAAGGTGAATATTATCACGTAAGCAAGTGCTGGACGATCATAAGCAAACGCCGATCGCGTTGCCCCAGCCAACTATACTAGGCTTATACAGACACTTACAGCATTATACTCGTTCTTCAGTGACTGATGTTGTATAGTAATTTGCGACTTGATTCAGTTCTATAAATTGGATTACTTATATCAAAGGGCGAGCTCCAAAGCTTGCTCCCCGATCTTAGTCCGGGCTTTATGAAATCCATGTCAGCTTCTACGTCTCATCATAGGAAAGTCCAACAAGTCGACGCTTATACTACAAATTGTAAAAGGACCTCCGTCTCAATGCACCATTAGTACCATACCTTTAGTAAATGTGCTGTTCCTCTCGCCGTAACCTTTGTCTTATATGTTTTGACCAACAATGCACAGCGATCGCGAGCAAAGCATTCGATCAGCTTAAATTATTTTGCATGCACCTTCGTCAAGTCCATCATACTCTTACTTGAGTCAATTGCGTCGGGTATGGCGGGTTTATGTAAATCTTGGCCACGAGAGTCATTCTCACGTGTCAAATTTGTGCAGCATGCATAGTCTAGTAATTTACCACGGATGAAACACTTCACTCAAAGAGTTTGCCCGGGGTCCAATTATTTCGCAATCATTTTTTTGTTGAGCATTCTTTGTGAGCTTGACGGCCGCCCTTGGCCTCTTTGAGCCTTATCACGTGCAAGCGTTGGGGAGTGTGTGCGCCGAAAATTTTCTATTAGGTGGATAATAGTGACCTAGTCATAGAGCTGCACTACAATGTACATTTAACTAAAAGGAAGGGATAGGCTACACCGCGCTTTGTTCGACGTGTAACGTTTATCCTACGTTATTGCGAGTTTGAAAGGTAAGGCTATTAGTGACTGCGTGCAAGGTTGTATGCCGAATTTTTAAATCGTACCACTTATTTGTCTGTGTGTGTCAATTGCGCCTGTGTACTTGACCTGTCGTACTCAGTGCAATGCAGCCTGTTCCCTCCTCATACATGTCACTCTTTGATTTGGTCACTAAAATTGCGACAGCAAAGTGCGAATGCTCACACACATACTGACGCCCGCACATGATTGGCTAGAATAAGATGGAGAGCGGACAGAGAGATTTCGAGCAAATACCGTGAAAGTCTTGCATTTTTGGCAAACCGTAAGTGTAAAGTGATTTGGATCTGAATGACTCGACCAGAATTAAGTGTGAGAGACTGGGGGCGTGTTTTTCTCTCGGACGCAGTGGAACCTCCCTTAGTTCATTTTTTGTAATGAGAATAAATTCATGTCGTAGGCCTCATTTTGTAGTTTACGGCGTTACCGACTAGGATCATGCCTGTTTCTCTTTTTTTCATATTCGTCTGTTTAGAAAATCAACAGCATCAACGAAAAGCTTGAATACGCCAAATCCACTGGTACTTTTATTGATAAAACACACAAAATACCACCCATTTCCTAGCCGCTACGCACTAGAAATGGAGCGTGAATATACCGAACATAATCAAGCTCTCCAAAATGGCGTACATACATCAAAGAGCGAACTCCAGAGTTTGCTCCCCTATCTTTTACGGCTGGACATAGATCGAAACCAGGGTAAAAAAAGCGCACGGTCACACTAATCGCTTCACCCTTCCGACTTGCAACAACGAATCACCTCTAAAGAATTATACCGCTCTCTGTGCTAACCGACTCTATACCGACCCTACCAAACGGCCGGAACTATGTAACGGACCACCACGTCACATACATGCGCTGGTACTGCGTCCACCCGAGTCTCCCGTTGCAAGCCGAACTGCGCATCCGCGCAGCAGCTGATGGCAGCTCGGCTGTGTGTGCTCTCGTACCTTCTGGCAGAGCGTTCGCTGCCTATAATCCGGTATGCCAAGTGCCCGGGAATGATGACGACGCCTCCCCTTCCTCTTGGCTCCAAGTGACATATCAGAACGCGTCATCGGGAGAAATGGAAGATGGCTACATAATGGCGTCCCTGCCCAATGGAATGTCGCTGGTGATACCTTGGGAGTCGACGGACTTTCGCGGCTGCTGCAAGGTGCTGGACCCAGAGACGCTGATGTTCGATGGACCTCTTGAGGGAGCTCAGCGCTTAGGAGCGGTGCAATGCGTTGCCTATCTTTACGTTATAGTGGATGAAAGTGAAGCACGAGTCCAGATCCGACATCCAGAGCTGGAAACTGTGTGGATCAACAAGAAGGACGTTCAGGTTGTGTGTACGCGACTCTACCACAAAGCCTGCAGCAGTACGTGCTCTGTGCACAATATCTGGTTGAATGCAAAGCTGATGCAAGTGTTTTGTGTGTGTGTTTCTTTTATAGCTTGTCATGCATTTTATGAACTAAACGAAGACTTGCCGGAAAACGCGCAAATTGCGGTACGCGAGTTTCCGTCAACGGAGGCGCCGGCCATGGGTCTACTGAGCCGAGGAGAGACGTTAGAGGTTTTTGTGCGTGGTGGCAATTGGCTGCAAATTATTGGCGGCAGCTTTGATCGAGCATGGATTATGTGGCGGACAGAAGACTTGGAGTTGCTCCAGGAGTCACCTGACATGTTTTCAGGCAACTGTCGACGGCTAATAACGAATCTGGATGGCAGTGCAGGTGCTGAAAGTGGTGCTAATATGGTTCTTGTAGTGGAGCGTACAGTACCCTCACACTCGGATAAGAAAGTTTGCACGTCACCATTGACCGTAACGCCCGAGACCGACTTCACAGTCAACTCTACACTAGAGATGAGCGACGCACAGGCTATAGCCAGCAAGCATGCTGCTATCACGACGAATAATTGTGTTTCTGTTGGTGTTACTAAAACCTCCCAAGCTCGTCCAGCGTCAGCGTTGTGTAAGAGTTTCGACGGTGCCGATGCCAGTGATACTGAACCTTTACAATCCGGTATTACCATTGGAGGTGGCATATCATCTACTCTTGGGTCCGGGGCAGATACATGCACAAAAGACGTGGAGCCCGCGTTTGCTGTTCAAGCATCAGATGATCGACCGATTCGTCCTGCTCAGTCCACGTTTGAGCAGATGCATTCTGATGTCGGTGGTGCTGACAGTGTTGTGATGGCACAGCCGACAATAGACGACATGGAGGACACTGAGCAAACAGCGTCAAAGCTGAGTGCGTCAGCTGCGTCAGCAGATAGCGATATCGCGCAGAACTCGCTCGGTGATACCGATATTGCCATCGGAGGTGGCATATCATCTACTCTTGGGTCCGAGGCAGATACATGCGCAAAAGACGTGGAGCCCGCGTTTGCTGTTCAAGCATCAGATGATCGACCGATTCGTCCTGCTCAGTCCACGTTTGAGCAGATGCATTCTGATGTCGGTGGTGCTGACAGTGTTGTGATGGCACAGCCGACAATAGACGACATGGAGGACACTGAGCAAACAGCGTCAAAGCTGAGTGCGTCAGCTGCGTCAGCAGATAGCGATATCGCGCAGAACTCGCTCGGTGATACCGATATTGCCATCGGAGGTGGCATATCATCTACTCTTGGGTCCGAGGCAGATACATGCGCAAAAGACGTGGAGCCCGCGTTTGCTGTTCAAGCATCAGATGATCGACCGATTCGTCCTGCTCAGTCCACGTTTGAGCAGATGCATTCTGATGTCGGTGGTGCTGACAGTGTTGTGATGGCACAGCCGACAATAGACGACATGGAGGACACTGAGCAAACAGCGTCAAAGCTGAGTGCGTCAGCTGCGTCAGCAGATAGCGATATCGCGCAGAACTCGCTCGGTGATACCGATATTGCCATCGGAGGTGGCATATCATCTACTCTTGGGTCCGAGGCAGATACATGCGCAAAAGACGTGGAGCCCGCGTTTGCTGTTCAAGCATCAGATGATCGACCGATTCGTCCTGCTCAGTCCACGTTTGAGCAGATGCATTCTGATGTCGGTGGTGCTGACAGTGTTGTGATGGCACAGCCGACAATTGACGACATGGAGCAAACGGTGCCAAAGCTGAGTCCGTCGTATGTGTCAGCTGCGTCAGCAGATAGCGATATCGCGCAGAACTCGCTCGGTGATACCGATATCGCCATCGGAGGTGGCATATCATCTACTCTTGGGTCCGAGGCAGATACATGCGCAAAAGACGTGGAGCCCGCGTTTGCTGTTCAAGCATCAGATGATCGACCGATTCGTCCTGCTCAGTCCACGTTTGAGCTGATGCATTCTGATGTCGGTGGTGCTGACAGTGTTGTGATGGCACAGCCGACAATAGACGACATGGAGGACACTGAGCAAACAGTGTCAAAGCTGAGTGCGTCAGCTGCGTCAGCAGATAGCGATATTGCGCAGAACTCGCTCGGTGATACCGATATTGCCATCGGAGGTGGCATATCATCTACTCTTGGGTCCGAGGCAGATACATGCGCAAAAGACGTGGAGCCCGCGTTTGCTGTTCAAGCATCAGATGATCGACCGATTCGTCCTGCTCAGTCCACGTTTGAGCAGATGCATTCTGATGTCAATGTCGGTGGTGCTGACAGTGTTGTGATGGCACAGCCGACAATTGACGACATGGAGCAAACGGTGCCAAAGCTGAGTCCGTCGTATGTGTCAGCTGCGTCAGCAGATAGCGATATTGCGCAGAACTCGCTCGGTGATACCGATATTGCCATCGGAGGTGGCATATCACCTACTCTTGGGTCCGAGGCAGATACATGCGCAAAAGACGTGGAGCCCGCGTTTGCTGTTCAAGCATCAGATGATCGACCGATTCGTCCTGCTCAGTCCACGTTTGAGCTGATGCATTCTGATGTCGGTGGTGCTGACAGTGTTGTGATGGCACAGCCGACAATAGACGACATGGAGGACACTGAGCAAACGGTGTCAAAGCTGAGTGCGTCAGCTGCGTCAGCAGATAGCGATATTGCGCAGAACTCGCTCGGTGATACCGATATTGCCATCGGAGGTGGCATATCATCTACTCTTGGGTCCGAGGCAGATACATGCGCAAAAGACGTGGAGCCCGCGTTTGCTGTTCAAGCATCAGATGATCGACCGATTCGTCCTGCTCAGTCCACGTTTGAGCAGATGCATTCTGATGTCAATGTCGGTGGTGCTGACAGTGTTGTGATGGCACAGCCGACAATAGACGACATGGAGGACACTGAGCAAACGGTGCCAAAGCTGAGTCCGTTGCATGTGTCAGCAGATAGCGATATTGCGCAGAACTCGCTCGGTGATACCGATATTGCCATCGGAGGTGGCATATCATCTACTCTTGGGTCCGAGGCAGATACATGCGCAAAAGACGTGGAGCCCGCGTTTGCTGTTCAAGCATCAGATGATCGACCGATTCGTCCTGCTCAGTCCACGTTTGAGCTGATGCATTCTGATGTCGGTGGTGCTGACAGTGTTGTGATGGCACAGCCGACAATAGACGACATGGAGGACACTGAGCAAACAGTGTCAAAGCTGAGTGCGTCAGCTGCGTCAGCAGATAGCGATATTGCGCAGAACTCGCTCGGTGATACCGATATTGCCATCGGAGGTGGCATATCATCTACTCTTGGGTCCGAGGCAGATACATGCGCAAAAGACGTGGAGCCCGCGTTTGCTGTTCAAGCATCAGATGATCGACCGATTCGTCCTGCTCAGTCCACGTTTGAGCAGATGCATTCTGATGTCGGTGGTGCTGACAGTGTTGTGATGGCACAGCCGACAATTGACGACATGGAGCAAACGGTGCCAAAGCTGAGTCCGTCGTATGTGTCAGCTGCGTCAGGAATAGCGATATCGCGCAGAACTCGCTCGGTGATACCGATATCGCCATCGGAGGTGGCATATCATCTACTCTTGGGTCCGAGGCAGATACATGCGCAAAAGACGTGGAGCCCGCGTTTGCTGTTCAAGCATCAGATGATCGACCGATTCGTCCTGCTCAGTCCACGTTTGAGCTGATGCATTCTGATGTCGGTGGTGCTGACAGTGTTGTGATGGCACAGCCGACAATAGACGACATGGAGGACACTGAGCAAACAGTGTCAAAGCTGAGTGCGTCAGCTGCGTCAGCAGATAGCGATATCGCGCAGAACTCGCTCGGTGATACCGATATTGCCATCGGAGGTGGCATATCACCTACTCTTGGGTCCGAGGCAGATACATGCGCAAAAGACGTGGAGCCCGCGTTTGCTGTTCAAGCATCAGATGATCGACCGATTCGTCCTGCTCAGTCCACGTTTGAGCAGATGCATTCTGATGTCAATGTCGGTGGTGCTGACAGTGTTGTGATGGCACAGCCGACAATAGACGACATGGAGGACACTGAGCAAACGGTGCCAAAGCTGAGTCCGTTGCATGTGTCAGCAGATAGCGATATTGCGCAGAACTCGCTCGGTGATACCGATATTGCCATCGGAGGTGGCATATCATCTACTCTTGGGTCCGAGGCAGATACATGCGCAAAAGACGTGGAGCCCGCGTTTGCTGTTCAAGCATCAGATGATCGACCGATTCGTCCTGCTCAGTCCACGTTTGAGCAGATGCATTCTGATGTCGGTGGTGCTGACAGTGTTGTGATGGCACAGCCGACAATTGACGACATGGAGCAAACGGTGCCAAAGCTGAGTCCGTCGTATGTGTCAGCTGCGTCAGCAGAATAGCGATATCGCGCAGAACTCGCTCGGTGATACCGATATCGCCATCGGAGGTGGCATATCATCTACTCTTGGGTCCGAGGCAGATACATGCGCAAAAGACGTGGAGCCCGCGTTTGCTGTTCAAGCATCAGATGATCGACCGATTCGTCCTGCTCAGTCCACGTTTGAGCTGATGCATTCTGTATGTCGGTGGTGCTGACAGTGTTGTGATGGCACAGCCGACAATAGACGACATGGAGGACACTGAGCAAACAGTGTCAAAGCTGAGTGCGTCAGCTGCGTCAGCAGATAGCGATATTGCGCAGAACTCGCTCGGTGATACCGATATTGCCATCGGAGGTGGCATATCACCTACTCTTGGGTCCGAGGCAGATACATGCGCAAAAGACGTGGAGCCCGCGTTTGCTGTTCAAGCATCAGATGATCGACCGATTCGTCCTGCTCAGTCCACGTTTGAGCAGATGCATTCTGATGTCAATGTCGGTGGTGCTGACAGTGTTGTGATGGCACAGCCGACAATAGACGACATGGAGGACACTGAGCAAACGGTGCCAAAGCTGAGTCCGTTGCATGTGTCAGCAGATAGCGATATTGCGCAGAACTCGCTCGGTGATACCGATATTGCCATCGGAGGTGGCATATCATCTACTCTTGGGTCCGAGGCAGATACATGCGCAAAAGACGTGGAGCCCGCGTTTGCTGTTCAAGCATCAGATGATCGACCGATTCGTCCTGCTCAGTCCACGTTTGAGCAGATGCATTCTGATGTCGGTGGTGCTGACAGTGTTGTGATGGCACAGCCGACAATTGACGACATGGAGCAAACGGTGCCAAAGCTGAGTCCGTCGTATGTGTCAGCTGCGTCAGCAGATAGCGATATCGCGCAGAACTCGCTCGGTGATACCGATATTGCCATCGGAGGTGGCATATCATCTACTCTTGGGTCCGAGGCAGATACATGCGCAAAAGACGTGGAGCCCGCGTTTGCTGTTCAAGCATCAGATGATCGACCGATTCGTCCTGCTCAGTCCACGTTTGAGCTGATGCATTCTGATGTCGGTGGTGCTGACAGTGTTGTGATGGCACAGCCGACAATAGACGACATGGAGCAAACGGTGCCAAAGCTGAGTCCGTCGTATGTGTCAGCTGCGTCAGCAGATAGCGATATCGCGCAGAACTCGCTCGGTGATACCGATATCGCCATCGGAGGTGGCATATCATCTACTCTTGGGTCCGAGGCAGATACATGCGCAAAAGACGTGGAGCCCGCGTTTGCTGTTCAAGCATCAGATGATCGACCGATTCGTCCTGCTCAGTCCACGTTTGAGCTGATGCATTCTGATGTCGGTGGTGCTGACAGTGTTGTGATGGCACAGCCGACAATAGACGACATGGAGGACACTGAGCAAACAGTGTCAAAGCTGAGTGCGTCAGCTGCGTCAGCAGATAGCGATATTGCGCAGAACTCGCTCGGTGATACCGATATTGCCATCGGAGGTGGCATATCACCTACTCTTGGGTCCGAGGCAGATACATGCGCAAAAGACGTGGAGCCCGCGTTTGCTGTTCAAGCATCAGATGATCGACCGATTCGTCCTGCTCAGTCCACGTTTGAGCAGATGCATTCTGATGTCAATGTCGGTGGTGCTGACAGTGTTGTGATGGCACAGCCGACAATAGACGACATGGAGGACACTGAGCAAACGGTGCCAAAGCTGAGTCCGTTGCATGTGTCAGCAGATAGCGATATTGCGCAGAACTCGCTCGGTGATACCGATATTGCCATCGGAGGTGGCATATCATCTACTCTTGGGTCCGAGGCAGATACATGCGCAAAAGACGTGGAGCCCGCGTTTGCTGTTCAAGCATCAGATGATCGACCGATTCGTCCTGCTCAGTCCACGTTTGAGCTGATGCATTCTGATGTCGGTGGTGCTGACAGTGTTGTGATGGCACAGCCGACAATAGACGACATGGAGGACACTGAGCAAACAGTGTCAAAGCTGAGTGCGTCAGCTGCGTCAGCAGATAGCGATATTGCGCAGAACTCGCTCGGTGATACCGATATTGCCATCGGAGGTGGCATATCATCTACTCTTGGGTCCGAGGCAGATACATGCGCAAAAGACGTGGAGCCCGCGTTTGCTGTTCAAGCATCAGATGATCGACCGATTCGTCCTGCTCAGTCCACGTTTGAGCAGATGCATTCTGATGTCGGTGGTGCTGACAGTGTTGTGATGGCACAGCCGACAATTGACGACATGGAGCAAACGGTGCCAAAGCTGAGTCCGTCGTATGTGTCAGCTGCGTCAGCAGAATAGCGATATCGCGCAGAACTCGCTCGGTGATACCGATATTGCCATCGGAGGTGGCATATCATCTACTCTTGGGTCCGAGGCAGATACATGCGCAAAAGACGTGGAGCCCGCGTTTGCTGTTCAAGCATCAGATGATCGACCGATTCGTCCTGCTCAGTCCACGTTTGAGCTGATGCATTCTGATGTCGGTGGTGCTGACAGTGTTGTGATGGCACAGCCGACAATAGACGACATGGAGGACACTGAGCAAACGGTGCCAAAGCTGAGTCCGTTGCATGTGTCAGCAGATAGCGATATTGCGCAGAACTCGCTCGGTGATACCGATATTGCCATCGGAGGTGGCATATCATCTACTCTTGGGTCCGAGGCAGATACATGCGCAAAAGACGTGGAGCCCGCGTTTGCTGTTCAAGCATCAGATGATCGACCGATTCGTCCTGCTCAGTCCACGTTTGAGCAGATGCATTCTGATGTCGGTGGTGCTGACAGTGTTGTGATGGCACAGCCGACAATTGACGACATGGAGCAAACGGTGCCAAAGCTGAGTCCGTCGTATGTGTCAGCTGCGTCAGCGAGATAGCGATATCGCGCAGAACTCGCTCGGTGATACCGATATCGCCATCGGAGGTGGCATATCATCTACTCTTGGGTCCGAGGCAGATACATGCGCAAAAGACGTGGAGCCCGCGTTTGCTGTTCAAGCATCAGATGATCGACCGATTCGTCCTGCTCAGTCCACGTTTGAGCTGATGCATTCTGATGTCGGTGGTGCTGACAGTGTTGTGATGGCACAGCCGACAATAGACGACATGGAGGACACTGAGCAAACGGTGCCAAAGCTGAGTCCGTTGCATGTGTCAGCAGATAGCGATATTGCGCAGAACTCGCTCGGTGATACCGATATTGCCATCGGAGGTGGCATATCATCTACTCTTGGGTCCGAGGCAGATACATGCGCAAAAGACGTGGAGCCCGCGTTTGCTGTTCAAGCATCAGATGATCGACCGATTCGTCCTGCTCAGTCCACGTTTGAGCAGATGCATTCTGATGTCGGTGGTGCTGACAGTGTTGTGATGGCACAGCCGACAATTGACGACATGGAGCAAACGGTGCCAAAGCTGAGTCCGTCGTATGTGTCAGCTGCGTCAGCAGATAGCGATATCGCGCAGAACTCGCTCGGTGATACCGATATCGCCATCGGAGGTGGCATATCATCTACTCTTGGGTCCGAGGCAGATACATGCGCAAAAGACGTGGAGCCCGCGTTTGCTGTTCAAGCATCAGATGATCGACCGATTCGTCCTGCTCAGTCCACGTTTGAGCAGATGCATTCTGATGTCAATGTCGGTGGTGCTGACAGTGTTGTGATGACACAGCCGACAATAGACGACATGGAGGACACTGAGCAAACGGTGCCAAAGCTGAGTCCGTCGTATGTGTCAGTTGGCGCAGCAGTTGGTGATTATTTGCCGATTGTTGGACCTGCAGCCTATACAAATGGTGCTGGCGATGTTTTGGGTAATGGGGTAGAAGAGGGTGCTATGGGGAGGCATAACGCGTTTGCATTAGATAGCGCTGTGATTCCTGTGCACGTTCGCCTCTCCGGTGCCTCTGATAAGTTCACTGCGGCAGTCGAGCTCGTCGTTGGTACGGAAAACGTTGACGGAAGCTGCTTAAACGGTGGAACTTACTTAGCGGAAGAGGTGGAAGTAGATACAATGGTGCGAACTGCACTTGTAAGAGACCATCTTCCCGCTTACAGCGATAGCGCTGATGGTCTGTTCAGCGGGGATATTGAAACGAAGCACGATGGAAACGACCGACCGTCGGTGATTCCTTCTTGTACTTTTGACGGAAACTACGCCGAATTGGATACGACTTTTGGGAGTGAGAACGGTGAAATTGCGCTTCTTGGAAGCTCAGAAGATGCTTTCGATCCTGTGGATGAATTGCTACCAGCTATGTATGATGAAAGCGACGCATGGTCTGAAGACGCTGCCTTAGATGCAGAATCACTAAAAGAAGCAGCGTTGCCGGGATGTCGTAATGCTAGTTTTGGAGCTAGAAGCGATTCGTCTATCAACGAAAGTCCCTGTCGTCCAGTAAACGAAACAATCCTGGATGTAGATGCTGTACAGCCTGATGGTATCGCGCTGTTGCAGACCGGTGGAATTATAAGGTACTGCGAATACAAACAAGCTCGCAACATATTGGTGGACAAGCTGTCAATAGCGGTATACGAAGCAAACGAAGACGACCCCGACCTCGTGTTACAAGCACTTGTGGGAAACGATCCCCTGAGCGACGATTGGTTTCTTGATGTGTCTCCCAGCTCCTCACACCTAGATACAAAGAAACTTGATGTGAGTGCTGCTGGTCCGAGAAGCACGTTTGATTTAATCATGAGTAATGCCAGTCCGGAAGAAATATTGGCAGCAGAACTGTCAAACGACGATTGTGGGGACTTCGATTTAGTCGTTTCCTTCCGATACCCAGTGCCTGGACGGAGAGGACGTAAGCCGCCCGGCAGACGACATTCATCTTTTACTCACTTGCCTGCAGCTCATGCACGTACCGGTAATGAGAGCGAAACACTAGACGCGGTGGATGACAATGGTGTTGCTGCACACGATGCGCCACTACTAGCGAGCAAGCACATTGCTAAACCATCTCGAGAGAACGCTACGGTAGGTGCTATGCCTGTACCGAGCTCAAGACTCCGACGAAAGACTTTTACGACATCAGCCGGTGCCAGTATGCTACCACCTACTGGTACATCGATCGCACAGCCACAGTCGCTAATGCGGACTGTGCAGGCTGCATCACCTGTGAGTTCTGCTCGTGCAACCTCCATTGACTCGATTCCACGATTGAAAGCCTTGGCGTCTTCTGCGTCGAACGTGCTGCCAACAGCGCGGTCTTTTCTCCAGCGACGAAGTTTACCTACGACTTCGTCGAGTACGATAAAGGCGCCTGCCGCGTCAGGGATGACGAGGAACAGCATTGCGAACTCTTCAAAGCTAGCTGAAGGCAGTAGGTTGCCTGCGCCGCAGCGGACTTTCGGTTTTCGACGCCCATCATCGGGCCTGATCAAAAGGACGTAGCTGTGCGGGACGTCTCAACTAGAATCATACCAAGGCGCGTGTGCACAAACTATTTAGTTTGCGTCTGCTAGCACGTACGTACGTGTTAGTTACATCTGAAAGCTTGAACAAGGTTTAGCTTTCTTTGACCAACCGAACCAAGAAAAGCTGCAAAGTAGTCAACGACTCGTTCGAATGACCTAATTTTGAACGCGATAAGGAATGTTCCTGTCCTCGAGAAAGCGCTTGATCGAGTCGGGCAATTCCCCTGACACGGCCACGGCATAGATCCCAGGGATCAAGCGAACTGCATCAACAATTAAACCATAGAAGAACAATAACAACAAAGTAAGTCCTTTCCACATCATCGCACACCTTCCCGCGAAATCAACACACACCAATGCGCTGCCACTTGGCTACCCAGCTCTCCTTGGGTTGCATCATGGCGATCATGCTGTCGTCCAACGAATAGCGCAATACCGTGTCAGATCGAATATGAAATTTACTTTACAGACTTGTCAAAATGTGATTATTACAACTCGAGTACACGGCGCCGTACCCTTCAAAATAGGCTGAAGTGCACTCAGCGACGCGCTGGCGATTGTCGGCCATTTGGAGGAACGCGCAATTCTCACAGCCCGTGTCGTAGAACTGCGTGAACGTCTTGACGAGTGAGCAAGTCATGCACGCGCGCAGCTCGCGGAAGCTGTTGGGAATGTCAGCGTGCAAGAACGTCTCCTCCAAGTCCTCGTCATCGTCGTCCCGCATTCGGTTCATTGCAATATAACCGAGGCAGTCATGAGACACTCTTTTTCATCAAAAAGCAGCCGGTTTTCGATGCCAAGTGTGATTTTTCAGTCTTTTTTGCCAATCCTAGCGTGTGCCATTTTTAATTTTGACGGTAGCCATCGCCGGTAATTATGGATTACTTCGTGTCGACCACACCGCCACCTAACGCAATTTTTGTGAATCGAGCACCAACGTGCTAGTGGTGGACGAGGAGTACTCAGTTTCGCTCACATGGTGCAGACAGAGGAAGACACGAGTCCCGCGTGCGTCAACAAGACGGATCAGGGGCTCCAGGAGGACCGTTTTGCCATGGTCGGACGACAACTTTCCATCGCGATAGTTCATGGCGTGGACAACAACGTAGCCATCCCAAGTGCGACCGTTGACGCCGGTCGTTCCAGTCTCGGAAAAACCGCAGACGGTGCACAACCTCTTATACATCCTATCAGCACCGTCGATAGTCAATTCGATGGTGTGTATAACGGCGAATCTGCTATTGCGAGCAGGTTGACGGATAAAAAAGAAGGGAATCTTGGGATGGAAGTCGACGCTGTCTCGAGTGGCTCTGGAGTCGAGAGACAAGGTGAATGGAGTAGAACTTTAGGCAACGGTATTGCTGCAGAAGATCCGAGAAAATCGGACGCTATGTCGGGTGTGGTCGCGGCTAGTGTCGCGGATGTCACTGGGATCGGTGAGATGACAGAAATTGCGAGCACGACGAATAAGCGTGCTCATGAAGAAGACATCGATTGTGCTGCTTTAGACAGACCGCATCCTTGTAAACGTGCTGCTGTAACGGATGATGACGGTACCGTCGCCCAGTTTGCCGATCAAGTGATGGATACGACCGTGGGCGACAGCTCGGGTGACGTTGAGATGAATATACGAACGATCGAGGAAGAGGTGTTTTGTAGCAAAGCGGTCGACGCTTGTGAGGAAAGCAGACTTTTGTTTGACGAGGTTGAATACTTTGCTGAGAGAAATCGAGAGCTTGCGCCAACATTCGTTCAAGCAGGTATGACCCGATCTGGGCGCACAATCACCAAACTTGTTGGAAATGAAATTTGTAAGCCGAGGGTACTGGCCACGAAGAAGAAAGAAGTGTCGACTCTTGAGCCCAGGTTTCCAGAAGAGTCTCTATGCGGAGTGTGTGGTGAGGTGGAGGATGATGATCTCACTGACATGATATTTTGTGATGGCGGCTGCCTCAAGTCGTATCACTTTTCATGTTTGGGCATTGACTCGGCACCAGATGATGAGGAGTGGCTGTGTGAACAGTGTCGTACAAATGAGCAATTGTGTTTTGCATGCGGACGCAATGGCACAATCAACGAGAAGGGCGGTGTTTTTTGCTGCAATGTTGCGTCCTGTGGCAAATTCTATCACCAAGCATGTATTGATGCAAACAAAATGTCACGCCGGGGAGCTAAAGCCAAGCCGAGCTTTTCAACAGTAGATGAGATGTTCGTGTCTGACGCTTCTTTTCGCTGCCCTCGCCACGCTTGCCTCGTGTGCAAGGGAGAGAGAAAGAGCCGCGATCTCATGCACTGTCTAAAGTGTCCAGAAGCTTATCATCCGCGCTGTGTACCCCCTAGTGCTCGCTACAACTCGGTTGGGTTGCTTTGTTGGAGGCACCATGATGACAAGTTACCGAAGATCCCGTCGTTCTACCTCTCTGATCCAAACATCGACACTGTGACTGTAGATTCCACTCTGTGTCTCCCGTGGATGTTCTTTCCCAAGCGCGATCCGGATGCCAGTAAGCCTAACGACTGCCACCACTTCCGCCTTCTCCTCAATCATATCGAGGACGTTCGTCTACAGCCACCGGCTTACCGTAAATTGGGTCGAAGTATCTACACTTTTAAGATGCACAAGGTCTCTCTAGATGATGCGCCAGCGTGCGTCTGCAGAGAAAGATGTGGAGACTATTGTATTAACCGGCTGAGTTTTACCGAGTGCTATGGACCAGCACCGACACCTGGGATGAAGTTCAATAGGCAGAATCGAGAATCAAACTGCATGCTCGGCGAGTGTTGCGGAAACCGCGCGCTTCACCAGAAAGTGTACCCCCGCTTCGAGAAGTTTCACACGGTCGAAAAGGGTTGGGGCCTTCGTGTACTAGAGCAAGTGAAGGCGGGACAGCTCGTGATTGAGTACGTTGGGGAGGTGATTAATGAAGAAGAGAAGGAACGCCGACTACTTGATCACGCAAAGCACAGCCCTGAAGACAAGAACATGTACATTATGGAGCTAGGCAAGGGTGAATACATCGACGCGCGGTTTAAAGGAAGCGTTTCTAGATTTATCAATCACTCGTGCGATCCCAATTGCCACTTGCTGAAGTGGCGCGTCAAAGGCGTAAACCGAATTGCAATTACTGCTTTGAAAGATATTGAGCCGGGCACGGAGCTGTCGTACGACTATCAGTTTCATACGAAACAGGCTATGGAGTGGAAATGCCACTGTAAGGCGAACTGTTGTCGTGGAACTATGGCACCAGAGAAACTGAACCAAGCGCAAGACGAACCTTTGAAAAAGCTTACGAAGAAAGAGAAAGTCAAGCAGCGTAAACGTGCTCTGATCCAAGAAAAGATTCAACATGTTAAGGAGGTGAAAAGCACGGCAAAGCGGCTTTCGTTGACGGTACAGATCAGTATGGGTGACCGAATGACGACCGATAAGATGACTGTCCGTACAGGCCCTGCAGCTCGCGAGTTACAGTGGGCTAAGCTGCACCGTCTCTTTAATGTGCGAGACGCCCAGCGAGGCTGTAATTTCAAGCTTCGTAGAGAGTTGCGAGATCGAAGATGTGGGCAGCGGGATACGACAACTCGTGTGCAACAGACCGTATCCGAATCAACAGCTGCAACATCAAGTCATTTAGCATACCCAATTCATTTTCCAGAGGATAAAAGTGAACCAGTATGTAATGGTGGTCATTTGCTTGCGAAGAATACAGTTAGTCCTGACCGACCTGCAGCTTCCGAGCCGCCAGTAGTGCCAACGGAGCAATCGGAGGAGATACGAGTGGTTTGAGCGTAGATTGTTTTTTGCCGCTACCTCGGACAATCATTGCGCGGTGCTGTTCAAATAGTAATAAAGCAGCAAAGCATTTCTGCGATTGTTAGATCGATTACTTGTTAGCACGAGCGTTGCCGGTGGCACAGAAGCTCACTGGGCAAAAACACTAGCAGATGCGCCCAAACTTGCCGTGGTCGAAAGCTAGGGTTTGAACCACGACGGCTTCTTAGTGGGTTTTGCTTGTGCGCTTGAAGATGTCTGGATCGTTGGCTCGTCACATGCCTGTGTCGTAAGCGCATTATCTGCGCGATTGCAACAAGATCCAGCTTTAGTGTCAAAGAGAAGACAGCCACGTATGTCCACTTACCGAGATGGAGTGGCTTAGGATACATAGCTTGCTGCAAAGGACTCACACTTTCTTTGGATACGTCGTGTCCATCCGGCAACTACATACGAAAAGCGGGTAAGTCAGCATTCATCAACTGTCAGTAGCGTACTTTAAGCATTACCAGTTCACTGCGGAAGTGGGAACCAGCGCTGGTCACATCGGATGCAGGAGGCGTCTCGACCCACGAGAAATATGTCAATGCAGCAGGCACAAGGTTCAATTCGATCAGGGTCTTAGAAGCCACTAATTTCTGAGTGGGTGGCGTCACGTAAAGATAGAACTTGCTGGCCCTGAACTGATCAGCCAGACATTCTGTCACGTGGTCCATTACATCTTGAATCGTTTCACTGGGGTGGAATGTCGCCTGCATGACGGCTATATATGTGAATAACACAGTGCCAGACGATAAGGAGGCATACTCAAGATTGATAGCAAACAGTCTCACGTACTTCGGTCCGGAAACTGGACTCGGATCAACACCGTCTGAAAGACTCGTTTACGCTTAAGCTCGTCTAGGTCACGCATCGCCTGCGTGCGGAAGTTCTGTGATGCATCATAGCATACAAAAATCAGTCCGGCTTACCAGTTCACCAATGAGTATACATTGCCGATCCAGCAACCTTGGTCTTCTCCATCTTGTCTCGCCGAGCTTTAAGACTCGAGATCAATAGCTGAGCGTCACTTCGCTCACTATCTTCGAGTACCGAGTCAAGTCGACTGCTTGATCGTTTACCTCTAAATACAATAGTTGTGCTTCGGGGAGGTTTTATGTGCCCAACTAATTGCTCTTGCTTAGACTTTAGCGCATCCACGAGGACTTCTGTCGTGCTCGGGCCTCTGGGTTGCATCTGACGGGCACACGATCCAAAAAGAGGTCAGCTTCGAACGGGCTCACCCTGACGCAGCAGCCGTACCTGCACACGAGTAATTTGCGGCTTAAACACGTCAAAGCTTTGGTCCGCTTTCTTTTCACGAAGAGCTGGACGTGTATCCTGTGGAATGTTGAGATCATCAGCTTCAATGCGAAGTAGCCGCAGACCCTCTTCCAGAAGGCCTTCGTTGAGAAAATCAGCACTTAAGACAAGTGCTTGCGTTTCTGGAACAAGTTTAAATCCGATGGATGTCATGAATTCGATACCACCCTTCACGCGGCCAATCGATCGTTCAAACGTTGCATTCGATACCCTTATCGAGCGCACCTTTTCGTTTTCTAGTCGACGCACAAAAATGATGTTAGCAAAAAGTAACTACTAGTCAAGTGAACACTGCAAGCATACCTGGATCTGACAAGATGTTTGTAACAATCCCCATCAGAGTCATAACCGCAGTGCGTGACACGGCGTCAAAACTATTATTTCGCAGCATTTGCAATGCGTCATAACTGCTCGTGCGAGTAGAGCCCCCACTGACAGATTCCTCCTCGGCGACTGCAGCTTTCATTTCATGGTAACCTGACTGCAATGCTGAAAGACAGTCCGACGTCTCACGTTCAGAAACTGGGGCAGCCGAACACGGCGAAGCTGCAGACGTAGGTGAGACATAAGGATTTTGCAGAGATGAAGCTGATGATGGCGCACTTGACGCAGCTGAATCCGAAGTTTTTCTTGCAACTCGAACACGAAACATCGCAGAGCCGCTTAGAATGCCCAGCTCTGTTACAAAAAGGAATAACAGACGTGTTAGCACTAGCTCTTCCTTCAGTTTTGGTTACTATTGCTCGTGAATATAGTCACCTTGTAACGTGGTTGTCGGAAACGCGTCACAGTCAATTTCACGCCGCAGAAATTCCAACGAGAAGCGCTGCAATCAGTATCACAATCAGTTCCCACACACCACCATCCTCACGCAAGAACAGGTAGACCCAGCGTCACCTCTTTCGAAAGTGGCAGCACTTCCAAGACCTTCAAAATGCACTCAATGGTCGTGTCACTATTGAAAGACGCTTGAACGCGCTTGCCATCGGGCAATTGGATACACACACGAACTTGTTGCACTTGAGCTGCGCTCTCAATCTCCGCCAACTCGATCGTCGCGTTGTTGGAAATTCCTGTCAGACGAAAGGGAATGGACAGGTCGATGGCCTTGCCGCGATGCAGAAGGTGGGACTGGAGCGAGTCGCTCAGGCCGAACTGCTGCCGTGCGTCTGTCAGCACTTGAGACTACAACGACACACCCACATTCGAGGTCAGAGGTGATGGTAGAAACAAGAGGGGACGTGCGTACCATTCTTGTTCCGGGCGCGACCTTCACGCGCTTGGACTGATGTTGAAACGCCACGTTCAGCGCCATTAGTGTCGGTGATGCGTGGAGTATTAAATTTGGGAATGGAATCACGTCTGAGTCGTTGTACTCATACAGATGTCGATATAGATGTCGATATAGATGTCGATCATATAATTATCACTCTCTTTTATAAGAGAGTGAGGAGTGAACGACACAGGATACGACGCGTTGTTTTGATCGTCGCTCGATTGAGAAAATACAGATATCCCGAATAATTATTAAATATAAGGAGTTATGAACCACCCACTGACTTTTCGATAAATTTATAAAACCCACTTTGTATTGCCTGAATGATTAGATTTGGGTACTTCTGATTGATTCGATGGGGTAAAGATCTCATTTTCAGAAGTAGTTTACGACGTTGTTTTCGAACGATTTTTATCTGCTACATCTAAATAGATCCTGACACAATCTCTTTGGCTCAATTTAAATTAGAATCCCGTACGCTGCAAACCTTGCCATACTCATATTCAGCGACCGTGTCATCGATTAATCATCTACTGTTCTCCTCCAACAATAGTAGTTTGCAGGATGTGCTGCACGTGCTAATTTTTTACAGCACACCTACAGATATGTCCTGGCTGACTTCACTTCCTCCAATTTTAGCGCCTGGGAGGATTAAAGACATCTGCGTACCCTAATGGTGTAACGGGGCACCCTGAAGCTTGTACTGGTGACAGTACAAGCTACTTATTCTGATGACAGAATAAGGCGGTGCCTCGTAACTTCACGTACACTCGTACGTGCAGAGGAAGACGGTAAGAAGAAGCGAGTACTCGGTTAGAGTAAAAAGTAGAACTGTATTTATAATAGTTAATGTCTGCAATAAATCACTATTTATCTTCATCTAACTATGTCTAAATACAAATGTGTAAATCAACTATCTGCTCACCACTCATTGCGTGCGTCTGTCGTGGCGCGTCTTCGTTGGTTGATATAATGGCCTATATCAACCAATTAGGAACTACTTGTAAGTGCAACATAATATTTGTCCTTATGACAATATTCTGAGAATATAACTCTTATAGTTATATTCTAATAACAATTTCTTATAAATTGTTATGTAACGATTCACCCCGTTACATCACCCCCCCCTTAACCATCAGTCACTTTAGTGACTGATTGACTTAATGGATACTCGTCCCAAATCATTTGGGACAGGGTTTGCACTTGTTGGTCCGCGTCCACTTTCCAACATCTCATCGCATGGTTAACAAGCCCATGCGATGCGCGAGCAAGGCCGCCGAGAGCGCGTCTGCACGTCTCTGTGCGGACGCCGAAGCAGAAACAACAGCAACTGATGTCCCATCGGTTGCTGAAGCGACCCAGCCTGTGTCACTTGGTGATGCAGGCGCTGGTCATGAAGACACTCGTGTCTTCACAGAGTATGAGCTCGGTGTCTCGTACTCTCCTGATACGGATGACGGATCCGTATCGACGGCGATTGAATCTAAGCCGCCTGCCAAGCGTGGCATGGATGATGCTTTGCATCGCAGCATATTTGGTTCATCTGATGAATCAGATGAACCATCGCCGAAGCGAAGGCGCTCGAGGTCGCGAGACTCGGGCGCTAACAGTGGTGTCGGTTCTCCTATGGACACCGCTTCGCAACGAGGTGCCAGTACTTCTGTCGGCACATCGCAGGAAGAGCGGGATCGCAATTTCTTGCGTCTCGCTCCCGAGAAGAAGGCATGGATGCCTCCAAAATCTGTCATGGATCACTTGTCGGCGACGACGAGTGATCGTTATCGAACACGATTGTTCGATTCGTCAAGGATCCATCACCTTGACCCCAGCGCGAAGAACTATCGCGCTGAGAATGAATTCTTCATCGATGCTTTATTTAGACATCGATGGTACAGTGGGAATCACAAGCGTGACGGTCCCTCACTGCTTCAAGCGTGGAACGCCTACATCCATAACCTTGAGGATGTAGGTCGTGACGCTTGGAACGACAAACTTGTCAAAGCTCGTGATAAGTTTGAAAAGCGAACCCCGACAGGTGAACGCTACGAGCTGCATCGTCTGTCAAGGGAGAAGGGATTACCCTGCCTCTCATGGGGAGACTCGTGCCCATGTTGTGTGAACAACTCTGCACGAGCACCTAAGGAGGCTTACCTCCTTACCAGCCCGTGGTGGCGCGTACGAGTCTCTACTGAGATGTACGAAGGGATTGACAACCTGAAATCCCTTTACGACCGTGCCGGGAAGACTTTCTCCGGCGGTCCTTCTGCGGCACACGATGTGCCGCGTCGTACTGCTCAACCAGACCCAGTACGTCGATCATCAGTTGGGAGCGGGGCTCCCAAGAATCCCAGGACGGGGGATAGCCGCGCCACCGGACGAGATAACTCGTCCGACGCCCGTTCACGTCGCGGTGGTTCAACAGCTGCTCAACTAGATAGCGCTGGCCACCGCGAGAGTCCTCTAATGGAGGTGGAGGAGGAGGAAAGACGCTCTCCACACGATCATGTGGATCGGTGTGTTCCCGAGAGCTTCTTTGATCGCGTAACGCAAGGGTTACGCGACGATCTCGAACATGAGCGGAATAGGCGTCTCCAAATGGCGGACACTGCCTTGAAGCATCGAGCTGAGTTTGCCTTTGCTCAGCTCGAGAACGAGAGATCTCTGACATCTCTTCGTGACGAGCTAAGGGTAGCTCGTGGGATTGTTGATCGGTCTCGGGCTGAGATAACTGCTCTTCAGACCCTTGTTGATGCCCACCATCGGGAGCACAAGGCTCTCTGCGAGATGCTTGAGCGCAAGGGCGTTCTTCATCGGAAGAAGCAGCGTACTGATGGTACGGCTTAAGCCGACCAACGTAAAACGTGGGATGCGTTCGCATCTTACGTGGTGACTCGATCGTGTATGCATTGCCTAGGCGGTGCAATACACGAAATGGGCCAATGTACTTGGGTAGTAGTTTACTGCTACCCAAGTTAGTCACTACATGCTTTGGTAGATTAACCGTAGACAGTAGGACTAAGTCACCTTTATTAAATAAAAGAGTATTTGCCCTTCCATTCTTGTCGGCGTTTTGCTTTTGCTTATCCATCGCTTCGGCGATGGAGTCTTGCACAAAACGGACTACCGTTTCACGAGCCAGTATGAACTCATCTGATGACTCGTTAGCTTCAGTGTGCTGTGAGCGCACTGCAGCAACATCAACCTTTTCTTCAGTGAGGGCTTCCGCACTCTCACTGGGATCATCTTCTTCAGTGAGGGCTTCCGCACTCTCACTGGCATCATCTTCTTCGATATCGATGTTATCGATATCGGCATCAAACGCAATGACTTCCTCGTCAGAGCGTGATGAGCGTGAACCAAATCGGTTTTTGCTCGCGCGAGTCCCTCCCCCCTTAAACCAGAGTTACACTCTTGTAAGGTGGGTACACGCGGATGGCGCAAGCCATTCACGTAAAACGGTGTATGTGTCGTGGACGCATGCACCGAGTTGTTAATGGCAAACTCTACCATTGGCAAAAACTCACTCCAACTCTTAAAGGAGTGTACGTATCCTCGAAGTATCTCTTCAAGGACACGATTGGCACGTTCCGTCTGACCATCTGACTCTGGATGATCAGATGTTGACATCTTCAAGCGCGTTACGAGTGATTTGAACACGGAACGCCAGAAATCAGCAGTGAATCGTGGATCTCTGTCTGATACGAGTTCACGGGGCAACCCATGAAGTTGGAAGATGGTGTCAATAAAGACACAAGCATAGCCACTTGCCGTGATTGTCTCTGGTACAGCCACAAGGTGTACCATTTTGCTGAATCTGTCAACAAATACGAGAATACCCGTATTCCCGCGTGCGTCTTTGGGTAACCCGAAGACAAAATCCATTGAGATGGATTCCCAGCACTCAGCCGGAACCGGTAGAGGCTGTAAAGGTGCACGCAGTGAAGGACTTGACTTCACTCGTTGACAGACTTCGCATGCGCGAACATACTTTCGCACACACTGATACTGGCGGGGCCAGTAAAAGTCTCTACTTACCGTGAGATATGTTTTCTCTCGGCCACGATGTCCTCCTATAGGAGCATCGTGATACTCGAACATGATCCGCAAACGCAGATCAGTATCATCTGGAATGACAACACGTGGTGTGTCACCAGAAACGGCTGTATAATACAGTAAACCGTTACGAGTAGTGTATCGATCTGCATCAGATCGATACGCAGGCGACAATCGTTTCAACGATTCTCGGGATGGTTGGGAGAGATGTGTCAACAACTTCACTATCTCACCATCTTGGGCGTATGCCCGCCTCACATCATCATACAACGTTGTAGATGGGACTGAGGACGTCATAACCGCAACAGTGACTGTCTCACTGTTGGGTTTCGCGACTGTTTCAAAGTCGGGACGACGTGAGAGTGCATCAGCGACGACATTAAGTCGTCCTGGTTTGTACTCGACCGTAAAGTTGTATTCCGCAAAGAATGACAACCACCGCGCCATTCGTTGTGAAAGGTGCGGGCTGTTCACTGCCGTGCGTAATGACGCATGGTCAGTGTAAACAACGAAGGGTCTATCTCCTAATAGATAGACTCTGAACTTCGCGAGTGCATACTTCATGGCAAGGAGTTCCTTGTCATGCACTGGATAGTTCCGCTCAGCTGGTTGCAGCTGACGCGACTGATAGCAGACGACGCGTTCAACGCCTTCAAGATCGTACTGCATTAATGCACAGCCGATTGCGAAATCGCTGGCATCACAGACCACATGAAATGGCCTGTCCTGATCGGCTATTGCTAGGACTGGGGATTGTATCAAGCTCTGCTTGATACCCTCAAAGGAGCGTTGGCATTCAGCGTTCCATAACCACCTCTCGTTCTTTTTCAACAAACGAGAGAGGTGCACAGTCATCTCGGCGTAATTGCGTGAATACTTATGCAAATACGCCGCTAGCCCAAGGAATTTTCGAAGACCTTTGACATCGACCGGCACGGGCCAGTCGGTGATCGCCTTGATCTTTTCGGGATCAGGACGTACACCGT